TCATGGGGGTGAGAAATTGTGAGGGGAGAGCAGTGGTACTGGTTTCCCCTTTTTTCTCCTTGCTGGACCCTGAGGGCCATACATTACATAAGGAGATGCTATCTCTGGTTGCCTGAGATCTAAGAACTTAGTCCATGTTACCTACAAAGAGATGAAGTTTTATGGTGGGTTAGATACAGGTGGGGTCTGGGTATCATGGGGGTGAGAAATTGTGAGGGGAGAGCAGTGGTACTGATTCCTCTTTGGTCTCCACCCTGCTAGACCATGAAGGTCATATATTACATAACATGCCACCCCAGATTGTCTGAGATCTGTAACTGTAATCCATGTTACCTACAAAGAGATGAAGTTTTATAGTGGGCCAGAAACTGGTGGGGGCTGGGTATCATGGGGGTAAGAAATTGTAAGGGGGGAACAGTGGTATTAGTGTGTCTGTTTACTTCCCTGCTGGACCATGAGGATCATAAATTACATAACATACCACCCCAGATTGGCTGAGACCCATGAGCATTTATTCCTGTTACCTACAAAGAGATTAGAAGTTTTATGGTTGGTTAGAAACAGGTGGGGGCTGAGTCGGCTGTATTGCCCCTTAGGGGTAATAAGTACGTGTACCATTTTAAAAATTACCTTGCTAACATCAGATGGCTGAATTTTTACTTTTTAGCAGGTTAGAATTGTATTTCTATCATTTAGACACAAGTCTGTTTAACAATTAATACATTTTGTGTTAACTATTCCTATACCAGTGTCATATTCAGTGGTCTAATAAATGAGAAACTTGCACTTAGGGTTTCAAGAGCCACATAACAGTATCTGTTATAACTTTTCTAAACAGGCAAGCTAGTGGACAAAATTAATGTATTCATGTAGATTTAGTTATTATCTAACAAATAAAACCATTATGGTAATAATCAGTCAAGTTTTACTCTGATAATGATAAAAACTTTATAGCATGGTAAAATGGGACAAATGTCGGCCATTTTGTTTTGGCACCAATAATCACTGTGCAAAAAAATTCACCAAAATAAAACTATTCTAGCCATAGCTATAAAAATAGTGTTAAAATGTACAACAACCAATGCTCTAATACAGGAACAAAGAATGGGCTTGAAAAACTCATTTGGTTTATTACAAAGTGAAGTTTCCCAAGTTATGTCTATTTGGAAAAAAAGTTCACAAAATGGTTTTATGGAGATGAGAAATTTTAGGGAAAGAGCAGTGGGATTAAATCCTGTCTCATCCTCTCCCTATTGGACCAATTGGGTCATAAATTACATAAAATGAATCCTCTGCTTCTCTGTTATCAAAGAACAGCAGTGGTTGTTACCTCAGAAGTAGATTAGCAGTGTTATTGGGGGTTTTGTGGGGGTGGGGTGTTGATTGGGGCTTAATACCACACGGCTCTTAACGCCCTCCTTTACCCTAGATCTTAATACAAACCAAAAAAGAAACGAGACTTAAGCAAACCAGTCGTAGATCTAGAATATAGATAATTCTATCTAGATTTAGATAATAATGAGTTTCTATATACTAAAATATTTTAGACCTTTATTGTTTTGTATAAATCTTTGTTTTGACTAGGCCCCTATGCAAATTTTGAAGTGCTGGAGTCAGGGCCTAGATCTATTTGCGTAGCTTAAGATTCATACGCGGCTTCTATACCACTAAGTGTGCAAAATTATAGACGTAAACTCTAGATATAGCTCAGTCGTATATCTAAAATATAGATAATTCTATCTAGATTTAGATAATAATGATTTTCTATATACTAAACTATCTTAGACCTTTATTATTTTATATAAATCTTTGTTTGGAATATGGTAATTTTGAAATGCTCGCTCCGGGCCTATCAGCGTAGCTAATGATTAGATCTAGATCTAGCAAGAAAAACTAAACTTAAGACCTAAGCAAGCGAGTCGTAGAATATAGATCTAGATAGAATTATCTAGATCTAGCTAATTTCAGAACTTCTTTATTTTATATAAATCTTTGTTTGGCTAATTTAAGATTAAATTTAATTTGAAAGTTACTACTACTAGCCTAATATCTAGATCTATGCGCGGAGACTCAAAAGTATAGTATAAAAATTCATTTGTGATGTCACGAGTAAATAGCTAAGTTGGTAGCGTAGCCCGCTCTCATGTGGGTGGCACAGGTTTTAGACCAATATGTCAAAGATATTTTTTTCAATTTTTTTTTTTAGATGTGAATGATAAAGTTGCCTATCTGAACTTGCCAGGATACAGGGCAGGTGAAGTAGAGTTCATCTGTTTCTTTGTCCTAAGCATATGAAAGGATAGTGTGGTCAGAGACATGCTCGGCTGGAATCGTTTTTTAAACGATAGAAACATGTTGTCTGAGACTTGGCGGGACACTGGGCAGGTGAAGTAGAGTTGAGTAGGTCACATGTGACGTCAGTATATGAAGGGATAGTCCGAAATCGGTGTTTTCGGTGTTTTTAAAAGATAAGAAACATATTTTTGAATGTGGGGTCTGTTTTTTGTGACGATAAGTGACACTGCAGTAGCGTAGCGAGGAGGGGGGGGGGGGGCGGGAGGGGAGGCGGGAGGGGAGGCGGGGGGGGGGGGGGGGCGGGGGGGGGATGCGGGGGGGGAAGGGGAGGCGGGGGGAAGGGGGGAAGGGGGGGGGGGGACATATGTTGGGGCGCCAAAATGGTTTGGAAAAATAAATTGAAAGGTTGAGGGGGGTTCAAATCGAAAGTTTGAGTGGGGGGGGGGGGTGCACATCAAAAGTTTGAGGGGGGGGGGGAGGTTGAAAATCGAAATCTTGGGGGGGGGGGGTTAAAATCGAAAAGTTTGTCCCCGGGCGCCGGGAAGGGTCGCTATGCCTCTGAGTGACAGACGTGATGTTTTTTTATGGATGACCCCCGAAACCCACAGTTATCCAACGGATGACGGGTATTCTAGTATACTACTAAAAGTCAAGTTTGTTTACATGTTTGAATATTTATTTGTTTGCCTGATCGAAAATTGTGATATGTTCGACTCTATCTGGAAAGCTGTAAAATGGTATGCAGGTAGAGAATAATTTTTTAATGCAGACAGACTGTTGATCACAAATTTATTTAAAGACGTTAATTAATTTATTGATTTATTCCTACGCAGAATAACCCATTTTTTTTTAAAATGTTAAAACCTTGACTAAACTTTGTGGGAATAGTGACGTCACAGGTTTTTGTTTACTCTTTAGTACAATAAAATGGCGGCGTCTATTGAAGAAAATTGTGTTCCCATTCAAAAGTTTAACGCGTTCTAAATCTAATTTTCTGTCGGTCATAACTTTAACAATACGTCCGTTTGCTGTATTTATTACGTTCCAACACTTATATCAATTTTCAACTGTCTTTTTCATTTAGTTTTACGATAAATTTCTCTAGATCTAAAGATCAGCTATCGAAGGAAATTTATGAATCTAGCCTAGATCTAGATCTAGCCTAGATGTAGGTCACTAGATTCAATGTAAATTCTACATCTAGAATCTATTTCAGGCCTTAATTATTTTATATAAATCTTTGTTTGGCTTATTTAAGATAAAATTTAATTTGAAAGTTAGTACTACTAGACTTATTTTTAGATCTAGATCTAGAATCTATACGCGTAAATCAAGTTGCATAAGGAGACACATAGTATAGTATAAAAATTCACTTGTGACGTCACGAGTAAATAGCTAAAATGGTAGCGTAGTCAGCTCTCATGCAGGAGGCACGGTTCTAGACCAATATGTCAATGAAATTTTTTTTTTCAATTTTTTTTTTTTTTAGATGTGAATGATAACGTTGCCTATCTGAACTTGGCAAGATACAGGGCAGGTGAAGTAGAGTTCATCTGTTTCTTTGTCCTAAGCATATGAAAGGATAGTGTGGTCAGATACATGCTCGGCTGGAATTGTTTTTTAAACGATAAAAACATGTTGTCTGAGACTTGGCAGGACACTGGGCAGGTGAAGTAGAGTTGAGTAGGTCACCTGTGACGTCAGTTTATGAAGGGATAGTCCGAAATCGGTGTTTTCGGTGTTTTTAAAAGATAAAAAACATATATTTGAATGTGGGGTCTGTTTTTTGTGACGATAAGTGACACTGCAGTAGCGTACCGAGGAGGGGGGGGGGACGGTAGGGGAGGGGAGGCGGGGGGTGGGGAGGGGAGGCGGGGGGTGGGGAGGGGAGGCGGGGGGTGGGGAGGGGAGGCGGGGGGGGGGGGGGGAAGGGGGGGTGGGGAGGTGGAGGGGGGAAGGGGGGGGGGACATATGTTGGGGCGCCAAAATGGTTTGGAAAAATAAATTGATAGGTTGAGGGGGGTTCAAATTGAAAGTTTGAGTGGGGGGGGGGGGTGCACATCAAAAGTTTGAGGGGGGGGGGGTTCAAATCGAAAACTTTGTCCCCGGGCGCCGGGAAGGGTCGCTATGCCTCTGAGTGACAGACGTGATGTTTTTTGATGGATGACCCCCGAAACCCACAGTTATCCAACGGATGACGGGTATTCTAGTATATATATATATATATATATATATATATATATATATATATATATATATATATATATATATATATATATATATATATATATATATATATATATATATATATATATTATATGGGGCCCAAAAAATTTCTTTGCGGGGTGGCCCTTTTTTTCTAGTTCCGCCACTGGCCCAATCAGCGGATATCAAGTGTTATAAAGAACCACTGCACTATTGTCACAAGTATCTCACCCACCCCTCACTGACCACCGACTGTACTTTTCCACATCCAGACACCACCCTTCCCACAGCGAGTGACATCGTTTATCGAAACATCCTTAGTACCTACTAAAAAAGTAACAGTAACTGGTGTTTTGGGGGAATGCCTCATTCAAAATGCGTATATAATTTTGGTTATTAATAGACGATGCAGGAAGTACGACAGCCAATGTATTGCTTGAAAAAATTTGGCTATTTTTAGAAAAATGAAATTCCGTAATTTATTTCCGGCTAATGGCGATTGTACGCGTACAACTTGTTTGTGTATAGATCTAGATCTAGCTTAGATCTGATCTACTTCTAGTTTATTTCATTAGTTTTTTTATCATTTGAATCTTAATATTTATTATGAATATTTTGTATTTAAAAACAAATACAAAACTTGGTAACTTTACAGGTAAAACTAATAGATCTACAATTTACTAATTTAGTTTGTTATTTCACTTTCAGTAAGAAGTTAAAGAAGGCTGAGGAAGGCCCCTCCTTGCCTTACTCGCCTTACTCAGGCTTACTCCTTAGTCCTTACCCTACTATTTCAGTATTTCTGAAATTCTAGAATTTACTTTTCTACAATTTTCTAGACTTATTTTTTTTATTTTCTAGATCTAGATCTACTCTAGCTAGATCTAGACCTAGATTAGATCTAGATCTTTTTTTTTAGAATCTCAATCTATTCTAGATTTCTATACTTATACTATGCCTAATAATCCTAATATTAAAATATTAATTAAATATTAATATATCAAAAAAATCATCTTCATCTTCTACTCTAAAGACAAAAGTCTGTTCTACTTCTATCTACTACTATTAGTATTATAATAATACTATCTAGTATCTAGCCCTAGCATCTTGTCTAGATTCTAGTCTAGATTCTATTCCCGGGGTCCAAATTAGCCAATAGCCAAGTAATAGCCCCGGCCACTATTAGGACCCGGGTCCCTATAGCCATGGCCACTATTTGGACCCGGCATTAAGTTAGATCCACAATCATACAAACAGTAGGCCTATTAAAATTATACCTTTACTTTTATTTGATTTTTCTTGTGGATTTGCTAGTATTTTGTTGTGTTTTATTGTAATTAGTAATTCAGATTTGCTATCGTTAGTTCTTGTGTTGCTATTTCAAAAAAAATACCCTATATTTTGCTGTTTATACAAAATCATTCAATATAAATTATTATCGTAGCTGATTGCATGGGCGTTATTTTTTTAAATTGTTTTTTCTAATAGATTTATATATTTTTTCTAGATTTAGGCCCTAGGTTTTATTTTTAAACACGCCAATTATAAACATCGTTGCTCCATTGATCGCCCGCTCACGTTTTCTCGTCAGTGCGACTAAAATACCGTCACCGTCTAGCCAGGGTTACTGTGAGTTCACATTGGTTTAGTGGTCATCCATAAATGACGTCACGCTTTTTATTGTTGCAAAGTAATTTTGTTTAATTACGTAGCAGAACGAACCCCGGTGTGGCCTCAACCAACCGCCGGGTTCGTTGCATTGAGTTAAATATAAATCTCAAAACGATTATAGGGGCCTATATTTAATGGGTCGGGCCACATACCACACGCGTAGTTATGTGTGTCATGCTTTAATAAATTAAAACTAATAAACTAAATACACTATCTCCCTTTGTCTTCTTTAGCAATAATTTAATTAACTAATTAATTAAGTAATGAGATCACACATTTCCTGTATAATTTATTTTTACTATTAAAGAAACAGCTGCGTTATTTCAATACCACCCTCTCCCTTTCTTGAATTAAACATTACACTTTTGACCCCAACCAAGTTAGTAATTTTTTTTAAAAATGCAGCGGAGAAGAGGGGTTGGGCTGCATACTTATTGAAACCGAGCGAAAAATAATTCACCGTGGGATTGACCTTAAATGACGTTGCGGCATTCGGGTATACTTTTTCCCCTTGAAAAATCAAGGTAGTATGATATTAAGGTTGCGCAGTGTCTTGTCACGATGTAGACTTAATGAGTAAAAGTGGGACGTCTCGAAATGTATACTGACCTATGTTAAAGTTTTTATATGCACTGACTGTGACCCCTCAAAAGGTGGATTTTTTTTTTCTCGGACAGATTACAAAGCGTTAGCGAGCGAGAAGCGGACGACAATGTTCAGAATTTTGAATATCAAGATATAGATTTTAAAAATATAGTCTAATATTATATTCTCTTAATGAACTCACATTAGCTGACAAGAAAATGAGAGTGGGTGGTCATATGATGTTAAGATTTTTTAAATAGAGTTCTACATAGGGCCTATAAATTAAAAATCCAAGCTTGATTTTAAAAAAAAAAAAAACAATACACAACGTTTGTGATATATCAGCTTCTTTAGTTTATAACTAAAAGAAAAAACATCAAATACATTTCTTTTCGCAAACTGTGTCTCGCTGTTTACCCGTGATTCTGTAGGTATGTCTCGCATTTTCTTCTCACGGTTTCTGCCTCTCAATTTCCCAACACCCTACTCTCATACTCAGTCATTGACTGTTTTCTAGTTCAAGTAGTTGTAGATCTATCTATCTACATTCTACACCTAGCACAATGATTTTATTCATTTTAGAATCTATAGTAACTCTAAAGTCTACTTTTACTATACTTACTTTACTTACTTACTATCTATTTATCTCCTATATATAATTATAAAGCAATGTATGTGTGTTTGTCTTTTATGCATTATCGCACCTTTCATTTGACTGCCATGAACTTTGGGAAGCTGTTGAAAATACTCACTCCTGGGGAGGTTTCTGTGGAAAAAAATTTAATTTTGCAAAGGCGGCGCCCAGGTAGGGTGCGATTTCTCTCTACATACGGCATATAAAAAGATAGAAGTCTGATGATGTTTAACTCAGTTCATCAGAGTCCCTTGAAACTTTGTGGAGTCGATGTAAAATTTCTTATGTGTGGCGCCCAGGAAGGATTGATTTTTGTTAATACACGGTTTCACGCCCAGAGTTATAGAACACTGTCTTAGCAATTGGTATCTGTTAATTGGGTGTCCTGCCTAATGGGTAAGAGGTTATACTATATTTAGCGGTAAAACTGCAGCCGGCGCCCCAGTGAGCACTATGGCGCCTACATTCTTTTTTTTAAAAAGGCTATACACTAAAGAAACAACTGACAACAATAATCGTTTATCAAATCAGGTGCCCTGGGCTCTACCGTGAGCACTATGGCACCTATGTTTGTTTTAAAGAGTGCAATTGCAATAGGCTCTGGGTACAATGGGTTGCTATAGTTGCATGACCTCCTATGCCCAGGCAGGGTGCTTTTTGGCTCAATGGTGCCTACGTTAGTTTTAACTAGCCCTTACAACATTGACATGTTGGCACACAACATTTTATAATTTATATAGACTAGTATTATAAAATGTAATATAACGGCAATGCTATTGTGACCATTGTTATTGAAGAACTATTGAGCAAAATCATCAAAATTAACAAAACAAGGTTTCTAACTAAAGTTTAGTAAAATTAAATACTTAGGCCAAATTAATTAAGGTTAATAAAGTTAACATAATTTAAAAATAAAATCATGCTTGAATAAATTATCCAATGTACGCTTAAATTTTCTAATGTGTTATTTAATATTTATTTATTAGCCATTAGTACCATATACTTATTTATAACTAATAATGCATTTGCTTTATCTCATAGAATAACTGGTACTGGAAAATATAACTGAAAAACTTGAACATGACATCACTTATCACAGAGAGTGACCTGTCTTTTGAACCTAGAACAGATAGTACCCTGGCACCTGAAAATGAAATATTTCACTATAGGTAAGAACTAAATTAAAAAAAATTTTAAAAAGTTAATTTTGGTTTCAAGCTATAGCACAGAACTAGATTCTAACCATAGTATAGAAAAATATTGATGTTTTTAGTTACATTTTTAACTAGATCAACATTGATAGTAATGTATTAAAAAATAACTTTTTTATTTTTATGCTTCTTGTTGCATTAAATTTATTTAAAAATGAGATATTTTACTGTAATTAGTGTAACATTATAAAATTATAAAGAAAATCTTAATAAGACTAAAAACATTTAAATGTATTTTTAGTTTAATTTGACAACGCCAGTGATTACTACATTTGTGATGCATTGTAATATTTTCAACATCAATGTCAATACAGGCAACGTTTTCAGAGTATGAAGCTAGTTTTGAAGGAACTTCAAAATCAAATAGCTATTTATAAGAATCGATGTTCAGGGGTAGATACTGTGGCACTTATGTTGAAGGAATCCAAACAGGAAGTTGTCAAACTGACTCGGCAATGTAAAGCTCTTGATACAGCTGTAGCTAATCTCCAGAATAGGCTTGCAGCTAATGGCTTATCTAGCAGGTAGTCTACAAGTTATTTTTAAAATGTTCATCATAAAAAATTTAGTTTTAAATATACCTATTTAAGTTAAACACTTAAGATCATCTTTAGAAAAATCTTTCAGTGAAAATTTATCATTGAAAGATTTTTCTAAAGATGATCTTAATTGTTTGACTTAAATAGGTAGGCATATTATATTTAAAACTAAATTTTTTATGATGCACATTTTTAAAAATAACACATTTTCACAGTATTAATTATGTTTGGCAAAGATAAAATTATTTAAAATTTCTGGCACCTGTTATGTCTGAAATTGCTGGCTAAGGAAGTTGAGAATTAAAAAAACTTCTTTTGCATCAACAAAATGGCAATACGTTTATAAGAGATTCAAATTGTTATGAACTGTATGGTATATGTTGATAAGAAACCGAATTTAAAAACACCTATTTAAAAACCATGTTTATTGTTCATTACAGTGTAAACATTGAAGAGAATGAAATGTTTGTACCCGGTGCATCAAAACAAACATTAGACAATCTTGCTAGGGAAAATGCTAGATTGCGAAACCTTCTTAAAAATACTGAAGTTCAGGCTGGGAAAAAACTAACAGATGTAAGTCATCTTAAACATCAAACTTTTTATAAAAATAAAATTAACTACTTGAATTGAAGTTACTTTAGATAACATTACATAAATATATTTTTGTAATGTGCAGGATTTTCATTCTTCAAAGCAAGCCAATGAATTATTAGAAGACGAAAATATTCAGCTGAAAGCAAAGATGGAAGAGTTAGAAAAACTACTAAGAGAAAAACAAGATTTGGAGGAGAAACTAAATGAATATAAATTTATTTCCAATAAAAATAAAAACGAAGAAATAAAGATTAGTATAGGATGTCAAACATCAGATATGAACCAAAGTAAAATCGAAGAACTAAGAAAAGCTTTGAAGACAATCTCACAGCAGTGTCTAGTTCTGGACTCAGATCTGGAGAGTATTTATTCCTATAGCCTCTCTGTTGATAGTACACCTTGTAAAGAGAAGGTAATTTTTATTCTTGAGATCTTTTAGTGAATTTATCTTTTTATATAAAAAGAAGAGTAAATTAAATAATTCTAATGATCTTGTAAAAAAAGAAATTTAAAAGGTGTATTGCTTTGTAACAATGTTTTTCTTGCTTTGTAACAATGTTTTTCTTGCTTTGTAACAATGTTTTTCTTGCTTTGTAACAATGTTTTTCTTGCTTTGTAACAATGTTTTTCTTGCATTTCATATCAGAGTCCTGGTATAGATGAAAACACTTATTTGGAATTAGAAAGTCGGCTAAATCAGGTGTGTTTATATTGATTATATATTTACACAAGTTACAAAGAGCTGTCAGATTTATTGTCTCAAAAACAAAAAAATAAAACTCAGAATGCTATTTTTTAGATACTGTACATTTTATAGCTAAAGCTGTTCTATTATTTTTTTAAATATAAATTTTATTCAACACTCTTTGTCAGCTTACTTTATGATGTAACACATTTTTGTTACGTTTAACCAGTTTTTTGTGTGCATTTAAATTATATGTTATCGGCAGTGTATGAAAACTGCCGTTCTATAGAATGCCTCGGCACTGTATACAATGCCTGAAATGGGAAGGCAAAGTATGAATACCCAATAACAAACAAGCAAAGTGTAGAATACGCTTTGTTCATTTATTGCACTTAAGAATACATGATCTTGACGATGACCATACTTGACGATAACTAAACATAACTTGAACAGTGACCAAACTAAACAACAACCATAGGATCGATGATTAACACAACTAACTATTCTAACTTTTCCCTGTCTTATACTAGTTAATCTTTAAGTCCTACAATATATGTCACATCTCTCCAAGTAGTCACTATGCTACAGAAGTGTACAATTATTGACGTTTCATACAAAATATACAACACAGATTATGGATTAAGGTTTGTGAGCCATGCAAGAAGAAACAAAAAGGTGTAAAGAAAGGCATTGTAGTGAAGACTATAGTATTTTGTGATTTCAATTTGCTCTGCAAAGTGGACATAATGTAATTGACTTTCGATCCAGTCCTGACGAGGAATACAAGTTCATTATAGTTATACTGGCCCACTTTGAAGATTGTACATACACGTACATGCAATCGCAGACACACATGTTCACACAATTATACATGGACACGCAAATGTACTCGCACACACATACATAAAGATAACCAACAATTAAGTTTCAGTTTGTTCAAACAGTGCTTGAAAAAAATAAACCTTCCGTCACCAAATCTCATCAATCAATTATTGCTCAAGTGTCACTTGCCCGTAAATGCATAATAGAATAGAAAACATTCATGTGGAAATACATCTTATGCTTTTTACATGGCTTTATTACAAGCCAGACTGTTGTCCAAATAATCAGAATTCAGGAATTATCGTTAGACCCCAAGCATTGTAGTACCTAATCATTCATTACTAGGTGCAATGAAGCTTGTTGCTGTAATATTCCTCAGTTGCAATCCAGACATTTAAATTGTGACAGCTGCTTTCTTATTTAATTATGCATGATTTTCTTTTGATTGATTCATTTTTCTCCAACATACATGGATACATACAAGTAATAAATGCAACTGCAGCAGTTTTTTCAATCTCTCCATATGACTCTTTGTTACTAAAGACTTTTGCAATTATTCTTAAGTATTTTATGAAATAAAGATTTGCTGTTGTTTGTTTATTATTTTTTTCTTTTACTTTTTGACTTTCTGTCACTAAAGAACACTCTGGGCACTTCACACTTTGTCTAAGCAGTTCTTGTCATTCTATAATATAATCCGTAGGAATTCTATAAAATGCCTAGGAAAAGCATATAACAATGCCGACATTTCATACTTTGCCTGAAAACGCCAGTAATTGTATACATTGCCTAGGCATTCTATAGAATGCCTGGTTTTCATACTTTGCGGTAACATATATATTTTTTTAAGGTCGTCCTTATGAATCAGCGATGGCAGGCTCACAGTGATAATCAGGAACAGCAAGTTCACCTTCTTGGTGCTAGGATAGCGGAGTTAGAACAGTTAACTCAGGTAAGGCTTGATTTAGTTGCGTGAATTCCTGAGTTAAGCAGTTAGATTAAATGGTTTGTATTAGGTGCTTGAATTGCTGTTAAAGCTGTTAACTACACTGAGCTGTATGACAGCTTCTAGGGTAGGTTTGATGCAACTGTTAATTCTGAACTGATTTTAGAAAACACTTTTTAAATAGTTAATTCTCAGTGGCTTTTATTTTCAATTTTGGTGTAAGTTGTTTTGTTTAAGGTTTTAATGCTATTTTATTTATGGAAAAGGATTCTGAAATGTTGAGAACTGAGTTGGAGGCTTTGAAACAGGAGAATCAGAGGTTAAAACGTGATGTGGAGAATTTAACAAGAGAGCTGCATCAGAGGAGATCGCAGCCTCAATATGATGCCAGCATGGTGGAGATCTTGAAGCAGCAGATCCAGGTGTGCACCGAGGACTTCAACACTGAGAGGAAAGACAGGGAACAGGCTGTGAACAGGGCTAAACAGCTCAGTGATGAGGTCAATAGGTTGATAAATGAGGTAAGCTTGCTGATGATCATTGGTTTAAAAATTAGGGCTAGCTCATTTGTGATAAATAGATAATAAGACAAGGTAATCTCTCATGTATTTAGGAAACTAAAAGTGGCATTATTTCAACATTACAATGAATAATATAAAAGGGAGTCAATTTAAATTATGAGATGCATGTGTGAAAAAATAAGATAATCTCATTACTCAATGAGTTAAATGCTGAAAAGGTAATGTTAAAACTGAAGTGATCCCTGACGTTTTTATACTGATGATGTTCATTACTTCTGGATTCTCTTTTCTTTTAGAATGAAAATCTAAAGAAGGATCTAGAGATGCTGAAATCATTGAAAAATCCCCTGGAGGTAAAGAGAAGCAACATTTTGATTTATCAACTATATATTAATTAATGAAATATTATAAGACTTGACCTACTTAGCTTTGTGAATAAAAAAAAAAAATTCTATTTCCATTTTGCAGACACCCTATGATAAACGAGACACCCTAGGATTGCGCTCTAATGTTTACCCACCACCAACTTTTAAAGTTCGAGGCTCTGCGATACCAGCCACAAGACTTCCACAGCATTTATTTTCCACTTATTCCTCCACTGGAACATCACCATCACAATCCATCTCCCCTGTAACATCACCAGTGCCCATGTCATTTTCATCAGCATCCAATGCATCCTCATCTTACCTCCTTCAAAACCCTCATGAAAGTTCTCTGGCCTACCCACCTCGAGGCCCAACTCAGAGATCCCCAATGAGCCGTTCTGAATCTGACTTTTTGAGCTTACCACGCAGCCCCCGCGGCTCAACAGCTGAAAGTTCCCAAAGTAGTGTGGGACAGTTTTCTGAGAATATCTCCATGCCACAGCAAGCTTCAAAAAAAGGCACTGTGCCAAAAACTAGTGGAGAATACCTCACTTGCCCAAAGTGTGGTAAAGAATTTGAAAGTGCAGAACTTGTGAGCCATATTGACATATGTGCAGATTAGCTATGTTGGTCTGAGATAATTTTGTTCACTTGTGATATCAAACTGTGCAACATGGAACTAATTATCAGAAATTAATTATGCCTTTAGTTGAGATGGAAATTATGCCATCTGCCTACTGCAAACAGTACCCAGATTAATGCTGTGTGGTCTGACATAACTATAACAAAAGAAGATATTCTCATAGGTATCTTTTTGAATGTTTCTATTGCTTGCCTGATGCTTTTGTTTATTTCAAATGATTTTTACGTTGTTCCGGTATTTATTTTAGTTAAAAGTAAAAATTTAAAATAACATCTTTGTTTTTTAATGCTTTCTTCAATTGCCATGTTTTTTGTAAATCATTCTTCTTATTTTGTGAATAGAGTTTTAAAAAAACAGGCTACATTTCGTCCTTAGCTTTTTTCAGTAATATCTTTTCTGTATGCCTTATGCATAAAATAATGCACAGAGTATTTTGACTAATTGATAAGGTAGCCTGACTTGGATTCTAATTCTAGCTTGAACTATATTAAAGAATATAAGATATAAACATTGTAACAATTAACTAATGTTGTGTACAAAGGACCTCAGAATAGGACCAAAAATGAAATTTGCTGTATTTGATTCATCATTATCCTCAACATATTGGCAGCTGTGGAATATTTCTTTTAAAAATGTAAAACTAGTCTGGCAAAATCAGTGAAGTAACATATATTGTTTTTAATTTTTATACTACCTGGTTGCTTGATTTTGGTAATAACAAATGTGTAAACTTTTTCTTCATTTCCAGTAAGTCATTTCATGCAACATTTCCAGCTAAGTTTAGGTAAAACTCATCCAACATTCTGTTTAGTCTGAAATAGAAATAGAGAATTTTAAAATTCTGGTCTGTAGAAGCTAATAAAAAATATATGTTACTAACTCACATTAATATAACACATGACCTTTGACTTTATTTAAGTATTAGCAGCACATAGAAAAGGACAAAGCATAAAATAAATATGAAATCATCTGCACTCCTCCCTTAACTTTGGACATATTGCCCAATTCTGTTCTTAATTTTTATGTACAAAAGATTGTAAGTTATACATAATGTAAAATATCCCTGAATTAGTGTGCTTGAAAAATATGTTATTACCATGTTTTAGAAGTATATTGTCTTGGTACCATTTGTCAAATATTTACTTGAGATATAAAAATTTAATACAAGGTTTTCAATACAGATTAAATATGTTAGTAATATTGATGTTTTAAATTTGTATATGTTTGCATAGAGTTGTATTATGTTTTATTATGGAAATATATGTGTGTACAAATTGATGTGTTCTCTATGTACGGGATCATCCATTTATGACCTCCAAAAAAGATCGAATTTCAGACCCATCCACCTCCCAATTAGGACAAACCTTCCTTCCCTCCCTCTTCCCCCCCCCCCCCCCCCCCCCCCCCCGTCCTCCCAATCAACACAAGAAAGTAATAGTTCTCTAAAAACTTTGTAGCTTTAGTGCAAAATATTTGCACACTGGTTTGTTCTTTTCCAAAATATTAAATATTACAAATATTTTGAGTACAAGAATATTAAAGGTTATATGGTATAAATAGGCCTATATGATAAGCACCTGTTTCCCCCCCCCCCCCCCTGAAAAAAAAAACAACAACTAAACAAACAACAATTGATGCATGTTATTTATTTAAACTTGTTTATTCTACATCAATATAGACTATATACATATATAGGCCTATATATATTTATATATACAGGTCTATATTATATATATACATTTATCAGTGTGGTAGGGTACTTGATCCAGCCACAGTAAGATGTGGCAGATGATACAAAAAAAACCTGCTTTGGTCTAACACTTGTTTTTACTACAGTTACACATTCAGGGAGAGGTTAAACCTAATGATTACATCTAGTCTAAGAATATAGGATACTCTTGTAGGTGTGTGTGTGAGAGAGAGAGATTGAGGCTAACTGCTAGATCTAGTTAGTGAGAAGGAGGAATGTTGGCCTGGCCTGTATTTATCCGTATTCTACCCCCCCCCCCCCCCATGATGGGACAATGACCTAGCCCGTAAACTGCTTAACCCCCCCCCTCCCCACCACTCTGTGACTTACCCTGTAATTATATATTAATCTAACATGGCTACTGGCGCGACCCTGAAAATTTCATCCATTGAACCACAATCTACAAGTAATAGGACCACAAGCTACAGCTCAAGATAAAAAGTAGGTGGAGTTATTTGATGAATAACGTGCTATGTCAGTGGATTTCAAACCTACTATCTTGACCAACCCATCCTTGCCTCTGTAAAAACAGCGATTTCTGTTTTAACTAACCTATTTGCTGAGCTCCGTCAACATTGAGTAGGCTTATATTCATAAACCTTTTTTTTTACAATTTAAAAATGATCCTTTAAATTAAAGACGCGAAATAACAGCTAAGATTTAAATTGTAACATTAAATAAAAAGTCAAATAGTGTGTGGTCACACATTTCTTTTAGCCCCACCGCATTACGATACTACGAACCCTCCACTCGCCATAGGTCTGGAGTGTGGAAATGTTTTATGGACGAACCCTATAGCCGATAGCCTTTTGATATTTTGTCTGCTCATACTACGAGCAACTCTAGGCCTAAGCTAAATTTTAACGAAAAGCCCCACTAAAAGTCGCTAATACAGAAGTAAGCTTCTGACACTGGCCGGGGGGGGGGGGGGAATGATTTAGCAGTGTTTCTTTCAGCCTTTTTTCTCTGGGGCGGGTGGAGCATTTGAAATTTTCGTGGGGGGGGGGCGACGATACTAGTAAAAGTATATATATATATATATATATATATATATATATATATATATATATATATATATATATATATATATATATATATCTGCCTGCTAAATCCAGAGGCGTAGCGACCCCTCCCGGCGCCCGCGGACAAACTTTCAATTTGGCGCCCCCCCCCCATATATTTTTAATATTTATATTTCAAAATAGCAGCTAAAATGAGCTAATTTTGGCGCCCATAAAGTTGGCGCCCGGGGACATATGTAACCCCCCCCCCCCCGTCGTAACGCCTCTGGCTAGATCTATTTTACTTTTAAATGCCTATAGTTATTCTTTCAGGCATCTATCTACTTTGGGGGGGGGGGGGGGTGTCACCAGGGCGAAATAGGAAAATATATAAATATAAGCTATTTCAATTCCCACTCCACCAGAGCAAATTATCAGAGAGAAACCCAGATGGTAGAATCTAGATTTAAATTCTAGAACTGAATTCTCTAAATTATATATTTTAAAGTACGTATACGTAGGCCTATTTGTTTCGTAATTATAATTTATTGGCGGGAATTAGGCATTTTGAGGTAAAATCAAGCTAGAGAACTAGACTATTTTTGTTTTCATTGTATAAGAGTAAATGTTATGGTTTTGTTCGATTGTTGGCATAAAATGATAAAGTGAAGTGATTCTGTTCCATTGCAAAATAAAAGAAAGCATATTCTAAACAAATATTAAAGAGCAAACTACTTGTTATTCATTTTAAGAATGCCGAAATTCAATAGTATTTAAACTACATGAGTTAGTTACGTCAATTTTATTTTTAGTCAGTGTCAAGCAGAATCAGTCTGGTGGTTGGTAGATTAGTAGATTTTCCTTTCGCCTTTTTTTTTCGGGAAAACTCGAAACAGAAACCAAAATACACAAGTGAAATAGATCTCATCTAGACTCTAGTAATACTAATAATATCTCTGAACCCTCCAACTACAGTTACAGTCGTACACACAACTACAAACACAAATTATTAAATTATAAAATCGATCTATCTAGACTCTAGGTCTAGATTTAGATTTTAGCGGACTTGGTGTCTAAAAACTAAAAACTCTAAATTCTAAATAGTTAGTAAATAGTCTAGTCTAAATAGAAAATTCAATTCTTAACTTAATGGAAGAATGTCATATTCCAAAAAACGTCAACGAATTGATAACCAGCATGAAAACAGAGAATCGCCATCTGATCTGCAATCTCATTCTCAAAACAAAAGTAAAAAAGTAATTCATTCAAAGCAAGATAGTGGATTTGTTGAAGGTTCTATCGTGTCCATAAAATTACATAAATTCTTGTAAGTAAATTTTAATTTTCTTATCCTCTAGACCTTAAAGCTAGCCTAGCTTTTTGAAGTCATATTCATATTAGTAAAATTGCTTCAAATTATCACACAGCATTAAAATGCACATAAAGTTAATTTAAGTGCTGTTTGTGGACACCTTTATCTATCTGTCTCTCTCTCTATATATACATATATATATACATATAAATATGCCTATATATATATATATATATAGGCCTATATATATATATATATATATATATATATATATATATATATTTATTTATATATCGGCAGAAAATATGAAACTCAATAGTTCTGCGCATGCGCCATGACTTTAATAGCTGCATTAGGGTTAGGGTTCTGCGCTTTGTAAACACACGCTTGCGCCGTTCCATCGAAAACACCGTTGCGAATGAAGGCGGTAGTTTCTCTCCATGGGTATTTTTTTATTTATATAAAGGCTATTTAGCGTAAACTTTTAACTAATTATTGATTGGTTCAAGTTTTGCCCCTAATTTAAATCTTGGTAACTTCATTCTGGGTAGAAAAGGAGACAATTGTGTTCCATGCAACTTAAAAAAAATCATAATTAAATTTCTTGAAAACAGAATCCAAAGGACTTCACACTTCACACAGAATAGTTCACATATGAAGTGCCAAAAGCTGTGTTTTCTATGAAAATAAAAACATTCATAGAAAATTATAGCTACAGTGCCTACAGCTGAAAATGGCAGTGTTGATATGTCAGCACTCCGTAACGTTTCTCTAGACTTGTTGTATGTAGTTTAATAAATCACAATTATCATTCTACACTCAGTGTGACTCAGGTTTTGTTGCTAGACAAAAAGTTTTTTTTTTTATGACCTGTAAATCAGTGGCATTAGATTATTGCCCGATGAATAGGCCCTATTAAATTTTATTTTAAAAAAATAGATTTTATTTATGGGGCCTAATTACTTGGCGCAAAAGCACAAACTGTAGGTAAAATGAATGATTGATTTAGCATTACTTATTGTCGACTGTATAGACTATTAAGATTTAAAGAAATGAACAATTTTGAGTTTCATTTGCTAATAAAACTTTTAATTTACTAGTCAAATTTATCACACAATATTAATTAGCAATGCCAAGTGCTATTTAATTTAAGTGTAAAATTGTACATCTATATCCCTGTTCTTTGGCTTATAACACTATTTACTTATTAACATGTTTGCTTATTAAAATAAGCAACTCATTTCCATAAACGAAGAGTACTACTTATAATTACATAGCATAATAACTCTGCTTAATTTGTTTCACAGGACGTATGACTCAGTTGAATTTAAAACTGGGCCCTATTTGAATATAATAATTGGACCCAACGGTACAGGGAAGTCTGCTATTGTGTGTGCTATCTGTCTGGGCCTGGCAGGAAAAACTACATGGTTGGGTCGAGCCAGTGATGCCAAAGATTTTATCAAATATGGATCTGAGAAGGCTAAAATAGTTATTGAATTGTAAGTATTTAAAAAGATAGTATATTCGTAAACCCTTAATGATAGGATTCTGATTATTTTAAGTTAAGTCTTCTTTTATTGGAAGTAGGGCTTAGTTTTTGTTTTGTATAAAAATTATTCCCTCTGCTTATTTATTTTTTTATATATAAATATATGTTTTTTGTTCAAATTGATGTTTTACAGATCCTATTATGGTAATTTCGACCCCGAAATATCAGGACTATTAGTTTAAAAAAAAATTAACTTTTTTTATTGATTCTTTTTTTTATTGATGCTCTCTAATAAACTGAATTTAAAATAAACCTAATATTCATTAATATAATAATTTAAGTATTGATAGGGTGTCGATGTAATTTAATGAACACATTTACTCCAGGTTTAATCCCTATGACGACAGCAATTATGTAATTTCTAGAGAAATCTACAGCAACAAACCATCTCACTGGTGGATCAATGGGAGGACAACTACACAAAAAGCTGTAGGCGCAACTTTTATTTACTTTTATGTTTACTATCACATGGAGAATATTCTAGTCTTTGCTAACTGAGGCTCTTAATCTTATCCCTTTTTGCAGGTTGAAGAATGTGTAGCCAGTCTCAAAGTCCAAGTTGGAAATCTTTGTCAGTTTTTACCTCAAGAAAAGGTTGCAGACTTTGCTCGAATGACACAGCAAGAGTTGCTTGAAAACATGGAGAAGGCTGTTAGTAATTACATTTTACACAACATAAAATAGAGAAAGAAACTTAACTTAGATTTCAGTTATATAAGCTCATGTAATTCTTATCTACCCTGTTTTTAACCATCCCGTTTCAAGGGTAATTTAATTTCAGAACCATCATAAACCAAACTTAACTGATTTTTTTCCATAATCCCTAATTAGGTTGCTGACAGTGATACTTTAATCCAATCCTTATTAATTAAGCTATAATTATAAGCCATACAACTGATTGTGATATGCTGATTGGGCTGGGGAAATAAAATTTAAAGACTACTGAGATAAAACCTTAAGTTTTGAGTCAGTAAATCTAATTTGCTAATATTATGGCACTTACATATCTGTCATTTAACTATTTTGGAAAAATAATGACAGCCTGTGTTTTATTAATCCAGGTTGGTGTTGACAATCTGTATGAAAACCACCAGAAGTTGAAAGGTGCCAGGCAAGAGGCCAGGGTCCTGGAGCAAGAGGTTGAGAAGTTGGAGACAGAACTGAATCAGGAGAAGCAGAAAAATGCAAGATTAGAAGAAGATGTCAAATCTTATCATGATAGGCACACATTTTTGAAGAAGGCTGAAGTTCTCAAAATGAAGAAACCTTGGTTGGTAAGTCCCAAAGTTCTTAACATGACAAAGTTGCTAAAATGTTGTTGGTAGGACTTATGACTAGGTTGCTGGTAAGTCACAAGCTAAGAATTTAACGAGAAATAGTTCTGGATGATAAAAACTGAGATTATTTGATACTAAGGTAAATCATAAGAACTTCTCGTTTCATATTTTAATTAGTATATAATAGTGATTGTAATTTCTCATAATGAAGAAATAAATGTTTTTTTTATAGATAGATTCAAATGCTTATAACTTTTTTAATATTTATTTTTCAAAATAGGAATACCAGTTGCTGAAAGATCAGTATGAGCGAGCTAAAACTGAAAAAGATAAAAAACATGATGAGCTCAAGCAGGAAAGAAAAATTATCCAGCCTTTAGAAAATAAATGTGTGAATTTAAAAAAACAAAAAGAAATTTTAGAAAGAGTCACAAGAGAGTTGGTAAGAAAAAATTGTGTTATATTTGTAACAAAAAATTTATCTTTTTACAACTGCAGATGTTTAAAGGGTATAGAAATTACAATAAGGTGTTACCCCTTTCACGCTTTATGTGTTGTGGATTGTCTGATAACATTTTCTAATGTTTTCCTTCATGTTTGTAGAATACATAATTATTAAGTAAACACTGGCTTATCTTTTCTTTTAAGTCAACAACCATAAGATCTAAGGCAAAAGAGCTAGAAGCACAGAGTCAGGCAATGAATACTAAAACAGAAAAGGTTAGATAAGTAGTTAAATATACAAATAACATTTTAAGCTTTATTTAAATAAATACACAGTTTGATAACAAGCACTGAGATACTTCAACCAGAGCCCTCAGAAGATACTTAATTTTTTCTTAATCTGAGGTCCACCCGACAATTAGTTAATCACTTTCCACTAAGAAAATTTCAACAATGATGTTCCAGATAGCCGAGGTTAAAAATGACTTTGAAGCAAAACTTAAAGAAGAAGATGCTAGAAAGAAGAAGTAAGTGAATAAACCTATACATCACATATTTATATAATTATGTACATTATTTTGTGGTACTTTCCCATTGTCCATACCACCAAAATAAATCTACTCTTGATGTATTATGATCCTCAGAATTTTAATAGGCTCTTTTAAATCATCAGTATTTAAATAGTATATTCTACATCAGTATTCAAAACGTTTTTCCACATCATACTATTTAATAGATGGTTTTATATAAATACAGGTACACACCCCTTCCATTTACTTATGGTTGACTAATGTTTTGTTTTAAGACTCAGTGACCTTCAAGAGCAGCTTAAAGCCCTAGAACTTGGCCTAGCTAACATGAATGGAACAGATGCTCAGTTGATAGCTGTAAGGAGTTTCTCTTATTTTTTTATGTTTGAAAGTTAAATGTTTGCCTCCATGTTTTCAAACTATGGCATTATTTTCCAGAAAGCTTTAGAAAACATCTCAGAGCAAATGAGGAATGTCAATGTGGAAATAACATCAGTGCACACTGAGGGGGAAGAATTACATAGAGAGATATCTCGTCTTAAGGCTGATATTCGGGGTGAGATTTTACAATTGTTGTGGGTTTTTTAAAAATTAATTTTATTATCTAAATGAACTATATTAAATTTTTAAATCTCAAAGTGTTTGCATTTATTACATGTTTACCTATTATTATGATATACTTAGGCAAGTAATTGCCAATGTGTTCATTACAGACATGAGTACTGTCCTGTCAAAAGCGATCTTGTTCCGCTTTCTAACAAAAAATTGTGTCTCGTTCCGCCATTCCGCTTTTGCCAAAGTTTGGACCACTTTTATAAATAAAAAAAAATTGAGTCAAAATGAAAAACGTATACATCAAATTGAAAAAAAAAGCATAGAAATGGATAGAAGTTCTCAGGTTACTGGTTAGCCCGCATTTTTTTTTTAAATTGTAGGCTGACATTAAGCACTATTTAGATGTAGCTTTGTGGCTAGCTTGATATAACTATAGGCCTACTAAACCCTATACCTATGCTTATATCTACTGTGTACAAGGTCATATATAAGACTTATTTTAATTATTTATTTTTGGTTTAGCAAAGTTTTAAGTAGCATACATGGGTATGTTCCTCTTTTTGGCTATAAATTCCTCTTTTTTATGTAGGACTGTTCCTACTTATGGTTGCTTAATCACTGCAATGTCCAATGGCGTGGCCCAGAAAGCTCACAAAGTGAAAATAGCTGTAACTAAGTCCTGTTGCATAGACAAAAATAAATGTTTATTGGAAAAGAGAGGAACAATTAGAACTAATCTAGTAACATTATTTCTTAAAATATTTAATTTTTGTTTTTAAATTCTAGACTTTTCATAAGAAAACATGATTTTTGGTTCATGTCAACATGGTCTATCTCAGCACGCTTGACCAATGACAATTAATTTTTATAGTTTTTGAGATATTTTTCAATAGTTTTTCAGGTTAGATGAAAAATATTTTAAAAAATTGCAGATACAGAAAATCAAGTCCATCACATACAAGATGTAAACAATAGAAGACTGGAGATACTACGTACCTTACATTCAAATACTTATGAAGCTGTTAAGTGGCTCAGGGAAAACAAATCACTTTTCAAGTCGACTATTAATGAGCCAATGATTTTAAGTGTAAGAAAAATATAGTTCTTAAAATTATTATCTATTAAGGGTAGAATAAATTACTATGTCATTTTGTTTACAGTAGCCATAGGTTTATAGTATTATCAAGTAAAATATAATTTCTATTTACTGATAACACACAGTTGAAAGCAGTTTAAAATTTTATCTTGAATCAGCTGAATGTGACCAGACCAGAGGATGCCAAACTTGTTGAATCTCACATCTCCTTCAATGACCTCAGATCTTTTGTCTGTGAGGATCCAGATGACCTTGATCTCTTCATGCGAGAGGTCAAAAATAAACTTAAGCTGCGTGTCAATGCTGTCAAAGCCCCTTCACAGCCTGTTGAGTCTTTTAAGCCCCCTCATCCTATTGGACGTTACAGGTACATTTTTTTTTTACACCACACATCGTTTTCAACTATGTAATATGTACAGCATTTTAATTGAATAATACACAGATATATAATTATATACAAAGCTTATGTTTTAAACAACTAGATAAGCCACAACTATAGGTTGTCCAGATTTCAGTTAATACTCTTGATTCTTTTTACAAGAAGTGTTTTCTCTTTACCAGACAGTATGGGTTTGAAAGGTATATGCAGAGCTTGTTTACCTGCCCTGACCCTGTGATGAGGTACCTCTGTATGATGTACAGGGTCCACGCCATACCTATAGGCTCTAATGCAATAAAAGACAACATTGATCGCATTTTAGCAGAGTGCCAAGAGCTGAGCATATTTTACACATCAGATGTTCAGGTAAGTTTCTTTGGGTTCACTCCACAGTTGTCTACTCTTGCTGTATTTTGAACCACAGTTGTTTAATAGGCTCTTTTAAATTAGTAGGTAAATAATTTTTTGTTGATCAGTATAAAAACAAATGTGTTCCAGTTCATACTATTTAAACAATTAATCTAAATCATCAGTTTTTAAAACATTGTAAATCATTATTACAGTAATTAATTCTAAATAATTGAAATAATTTATTCAAACTTATCACTATTAATTGGGGGTCGTGTGTGGTCGATGGGTAAAGCTCATGGTTGCTAAACAGAAGTCTCGATTTCGAACCCTTGGGCAGATGAGGCTCTACAGCTGGGGACAGCAACTCTTCTAGGAGAGACAAAAAAATCAAATAAACTTCTGCCGTGTAGTTTGTTCTTGGTTGGACAAAGGCTATGGAAGCAAATCCAAAAAGAAAAGCATGCTGAAATCAGAGTCAATGGCCTGTATGGCACAAAACGAGTTGACAAGGATACTTGTGTTGGAGGGAATATCTTCCAACACTGAAATTAAGAACGCAAAGAAGAAACTATTCATTGTTTTCTTATAACTTAATTCTGTAAAAATAAGTAGATATAAATGATCCTATTTAAAATGATGATTATTGATTATACTATTTAAATAAATTGTTAGAAATTATCTTAATTTAACTTATCACTGTTAAAATAATTTGTTCCCCCTTTACTTGTTTTTTTCAGTACTCCATTAAAAAGTCTAGGTACACAGGTGATGTATCATCAAGGAATACAGCACTTAGGTAAGTCTGGCTCTAAAAACATCTATTGTCACACCTAGCAAATGTTGCTATCAGTTGATTTATTACAGCACTTAAGTGAGTCTGGCTCTAAAAAAACATCTATGAATTAATCAAAGTTTGTTAGATTTTTGCAAAAATAGCCCTTAAAATAGAATGAAACATGTTTAGTTAATATTACTACAGAAGTTTCTACAGTTTTGAAGCTTTTTATTTTTAATGTTGAACATTCATTTGTACCTGTTGGTTGGCATATGAAATAGTTTACTTTTTCTCTGACTTGTTATAGTGAGGTCAGCCGTTTCTTCTAGACTCATGTCCTATAGGCTTGAGTACATGAACTCATCCACCCTGATATAGGGAAGAATCATTACATTTATTTATGTTGTAGTGGTGTTAAACCACAAACTAGTGTTTAAGTTTTGAAGCATTGATGCTTTATTTTTACATTAGGAAATGTTTGTTGTTGCTCACTATAAGGTAAAATTGCTAGGAGTGTTTTTTTTTTGTATGATAAATTTGAATGGTACTGCAGTGAGGCTAAAATGTAGAAGTGTTAAAGAAGGGTTTGTAGGCTTAGATAACAATGACAAGTGACTGCATTACTAGTTTGTTAATAGCCATTATTAGAATAAAAACACATTCATAGCAATGAAAATATATTGAATTAGCATTTTTCATCAAAATGAACTTTATTAAATCTACAGACATTTAGTTATCTGCAATTTTTAAAAATAATTTTCATCTAACCTGAAAAACTATTGAAAAATAACTCAACTTATAGTATTTAGAGGTGTAATAGATAATTTAAGTGCCAAAATGTCTTAGTGAAATAGTAGACTACTGAATTTTAATCAGATTTAAGTTACTATGGTAGAGTCTTTGTACAGCCACAAACCCCTTTAGTTAATTAATGCATACACATTAGCTTCACAGGATATTATAGTTTTAATGCATGTGTGTGGGGATGATTTGCTTGTAAAGATTTTAAATTGACTATTGCAGGCGACCCAAAGCATTAGCTGACTCCATTAACACGGAAAGAGAACAGGAACTACTTAACCGTGTAAAGGTAATTTATTGATAAAATAAAACAAAAATACATCGTTACTTTAAAATAATATTCCCAAATATCAAACAATACCAAAAAATAACGTTAACTATAAATTGATAAAAATGAGACTATCAAATGTTTAAAACAGTTTCATGGGCTATTGGATTGTTGTAATAAATGCTGCTGCAATAATTTATAGATGTCATGATTTTATAAATATTCAGGATCTGATGAAGGAACAGAAAACCAAAGAAGAGCAGTACAAAATTTTACAGAAGAAATCTGAAGTGCTGGAGATCCAGATCAATGACCTCAGGGAGCAAAAGGTTTGTTCATTGTTTTAGTTAGTCCGTGTTCATTTCTTCAAAATATTGATTTTAATCTGTTAAAATACTTAATTATTCCTTTGATGCTCCTGAGAAGCAGGCAACTCTCTTTATTTGAGACCATACAAGCTCAGCAGCCCTTGCTTCTCCCTCTATTGTCCTCCAGGATTGATGATCCACCTACTTTTCTCCTGTGGGTTCCAGTCTAATGCTTGCCTCGCGATGTTCTATTCCTCCCTCATGCCATCATATTTGGGGCTTTAATATCCCTGTCAATACAGGTCTTCATTCGACATGTTGTCAGGCCGTCTTATGTTAAGGATTTGTCATAAACACCTGTTTATAGACGTCTGTAGCCTGTCAATATTTGTCTTGGTAGCCCTCCAGGTCTCCAGACCATACAGCAACACTGCCTTAATATTTGTATTGAAGATTCTTATCTTGCTCTTGAATGTCTAGGCTGTGCAGTTCCATATAGGGCATAGTGAGTTAAAGCCACATCTGGCCTTGTTGATACAATGCTTATAGTTACAGTGTTATAAAATAACTGAAGCAAAAATGTTTATTAGAAGAAATTGTTTTATTTTTTAATTTTTTTTATATTTGAAAATGTTTTTGTAAACAGAGAAACCAGCTGAAACAGAAAGATCAAAGGAAAAATGTAGAGAATCAGATAATCACAAAAAAACAAAGGTAAAATATGAGTTAGATATCTGTCAGTGTGCTACCTCATTGTAACGGGGGGGGGGCTGGGGCTGGGAAGGGTTGGTGACAGCAGAAGGCGTGTGAGTGTAAACAGGTGAAAGATTCCGTTCTTAATGTCTGTAGGATACAGCAGGTGATGAGAGAAGAGGTCAACATGCAGGCTGAAGAACAGAAGCTACAGACCCAGCTTAAGGCCATTGTACACGACAAGTTCAAATGTTTAGAATTGATGAAAAATATTTCTTTAGTAAGTGACATTCAGAAAATTAAAAATTTTAAGCTAACTAGCTGACATACTTGTAATCAAATAACGTTGAGCATACAATAAAATTGAGCAATAAATGTTTTTTTCTGCTATGCATATTTTACAAATTGATTGTGTTACATTTTCTTACTTTGTTATTCATCTTGTGCTCATACATTTTTTTTTAATAAAAATAAATGACTCAATTTTCAACAGGATTGCATTAAAATAGCCAAAGATAGAATTATAAAAAGCCTACAACTTGCTGAGCATGTTCGTGATTTCTCTATTGTTGAAACAGAATTTCAAAATGCCAAGCAGAAATTTGAAGGGCTTGAAGTGAGCATGAATTTTGTTTCATAGATTTTATTTTAAATTCTCTAATTTTAATTTTAAATTCTCTAATTTTAATTTTAAATTCTCTAATTTTAATTTTTGCATTCTCTAATTTTAATTTTACATTCTCTAATTTTAATTTTAAATTCTCTAATTTTAATTTTAAATTCTCTAATTTTAATTTTAAAATCATGAGATAATGCTGACAAATTAGCTTCATCAGCCCTTCTGACTGTCCTGTCTGATACTAGTGAAAGGCTACTTTTTAAATATTGCTGTGATTTTTATCTTAGACTGATAAATTACTTTTTAAATATTGACCAACAGATATTTAATTTGGCTGTAATATTACATTATTGATTTATGATATTTAATATAGGCTCTAATATGTCATCCAAGTAATAGTTGCACTATTCTGTCTGTGTATGTATCTGTTAAGAAAGCTCTAGAGATAAGTAACAAAAAGTTAGCAAAATATCATAAGTCAGTAATGTAATAATACAACACTATTAAAAGTTTATATTTGAACTTAAAAAAAAGGTAATATGAATAATTTAAAAACTCAAAATCAAACTAAATAAGGGGTCGGCGTGGTCGAGTCGGTAAAGCTCATGACTGCTAAACCGAAAAGTCTCGAATTCGAACCCTCGGGCAGATGAGGCTCTTTAGCTGGGGACAGTCACTCTTCTAGGAGAGACAACTCCAAAATCAAACAACTACTACCTTGTAGTTTGTTCTTGGTTGGACAAAGGCTATGGAAGCAAATCCAAAAAGAAAAGCAGGCTGAAGTCGGAGTCAATGGCCTCAATGGCGCATAGCCAGTTGACACGTATACTTAATTGTGTTGGAGGCGTGGTCGAGTCGGCAAAAAGCTCATGGTTGTTAAATTCGAAAAAGTCTCGAGTTCAAACCATCTGGCAGATAAGGCTCGATCCCTTCCAACACTTAAAATTAAGAACGAAGAAGAAGAAGAAACTAAATAAATAGCCATAGGATTAGGGTTAGAATTGGGGTGCACGTTATGGCTAAGGTTTGTTTTACTGTTAGGATTAATCATCCTTTTTTCTTGTTTGTGTCTAATAAACATGGGGCAGATAAAGTAATGGTCATCTGTTTAGATGACCCTGACATACAGGGGGATAGTGTGGTCAGCACAATGCCCAGCTGCATTAGTTTCCCTAACTAGAATCAGGTTTCCATCAGAGATGGGTGTAGTCAGACCTAAGCCCAAGATTAGGGTAGGATTCCGACTTTGGTAATTGTAGGTTGAGGTTAAAGTTCATGTTCTTATTCAGTTAAAAGTTGAGGTTTCAGTTTTGATTAAAGTTATTTTTTCCGGGTTTTTTTTTACTGATCTGGTTAAAATTTTGGTTCCAATTAAGGTTTTGTTTCTGGTAAAATTTCAGTTTCAGAATAAAGTTGTGATTCCGGTAAAAGCTATGGTTCCCTTTAAAGTTCCAGTTCCTTTTGTAGTTCTGGTTCTTGTTAAAGCTTTGGTTCTAATAGCTGTTTCTTTTCGGTTTGGTTTAGATTTAGTGTCGTTCCATTTCAAGTTTAGTTCCCAGTTCCGAAGTTCAAATTTCACATACATTTTTGTTTGCAGTTAAATTTCTGTTCCCGGGTTAATTTAAGATACAGTTTTAGATTTTGGTTTAGGTAAGAAAGAAGAAACACTCTCAGCCTAGTGCCAGTTGTATTTCCCCTCAATGGGATATATGTCTAGTTCTTGACTAACTTAGGCTGTAGTATAACATTATTGACTAATATTGTGAAGAGGTTAAAAAATCTTATGATATATTCAATCCACAATCTCTTTCATAAATTTTTCCCTCTTGTAAAATTTTTGTGTGAGCAGAAAGAGGTGGTAGAGCTACAAGACCATGTTGCAGACTTAAAACACCAGGCCAGGGAGAAACTGGTTGATGCCAAGAGAAAAGCAGACATTGGCATGCAGGATAACTTAGAAGAGAAGCTTACTGAGGTATGGCACATCATTTTTATGACATTTTGCAAATAGAACATTAATCCCTTGGTGTATTTTATGCATATTTGTTCTTAACCTTCTAAGGAAATTATGACTAGATTAAGAAGAATTGTAGAAATACATTTTCAGCGTGGTTTGTGGGAGGACTTCAAAAATGCTCCCTCCAGACTGGACGAACTGGACAACGAGATTCACAGCGTACAGGCAAGAGCTGAGGCCATGTTTCAAGTTGATGAAAAGGTCATTTCCTTAACAATACATTTTATCAACCTGTTTAGTAAATTTTCTAAAAAGTTGACTTTAAATTATCATATTTATTAAAAGAATTTCAATCTATTTTCATAGGTGGTGCAAGATTTTCGTAAAAGGGAAAAGGAAATAGCAAAATTAGAAAAGTTACTTCATGAAACAGAGAGGAGACACCAAAGCCATCAAAGTGATATAGCGGAAGTGAAGAGAAGATGGCTGGAGCCTCTCAATGAATTGATACATAAAATTAACATAAAATATTGTTACTTTTTTTCATGTTTAAAATGTTGTGGGGAAGTGAGTCTCAGTATTCCAGAAAATACAGTAAGTTCATTATTCTAGCTGTTCATTTCTTGTAATTGTTTCAGAAAAATTACTCATAACATTAAAAAAAAAATATACTAACACAAGTTTTGGTAAAATGGACATTGTTTCCTGTTTTAACTTGTACTCAACCAAGTGTTATTGGGATTGTAACATTATTTGGGATCTTATTTTAACAGTTCATGTTTTTGTTCATTCAGTTTTTGTCTATTCTAATTACCAGATCTTTATTTTAAATGCCATTTTTGTTCATATACATTTTAAACAGACCTAATATTTATTAAATAGATAAATTCACTGAAACAGGGAGATTTAATTTTGTTATATGCACATGATTATAAAATTTATGTCATCAGGATGATTATGAAAAGTATGGAGTGTGCATCAAAGTAAAGTTTCGAGATGATGAAATTTTAAGAGAACTGAATGCCCATCATCAGAGTGGTGGGGAGCGCAGTGTTTCAACTGTTTTGTTCATGATTGCACTTCAAGAGCTTACAAAATGTCCCTTCAGATGTGTTGATGAAATTAATCAGGTAAGTCGGTGTTGTGCACTGTAATAAGAGAGACAATTATTCGACACACTACTTACACACATAATAAAAGAATAACCATTTTTACTCAGAACATTTATGCTTACCCTAAATCTGCTTTAAACTATGGGTTGTTATTGGAGAAATTTAAAAAATAGCAAGCACAATTCTACTGAAATTTTATTTTTTTCTTATACTTTAATTTATAAGTGGTCTATATGATATTCCTTATGAGATTTATACTTCAGTGAAAAAAAACTAAATATATAAGTGTGATGCATATTTATTAATACAGTGAGCAGAGTTTTAACCTGATGTAGTGATGCTGAGACTATTTCACTTGGTTTACTCTGACATGGATGGACCGTACTGAGTCACAAGCCTGGAAAGCTATTGACAATCATCATAGACACTAATAAACAGAATGAATAGTGTATCTGAGAAAATTCACTCAACACTTTAATTTACCTTTCAGGGTATGGATCCAAAGAATGAAAGAAAAGTCTTTGAGCTGGTTGTCCAGACTGTTTGTAAAGCTAATGCATCACAGTATTTTTTACTGACTCCTAAGGTAATGACATCCTTCTTTGCTTGATTTAGGTCGGTAAATTTAAAAGCAGGAGCATTTACTCTTCTTCTTGAATTGTTTGATGTTTGTTTGGTACTTACTAGATGTGTTGGAAGAATCAATGTTAAAAGGTTGTTGAGCATTTTATTTTATTTGTTACATTTTGATTTCTGATCAAATTCACCAGTTGCACTAAAAGGACAAAACTGTAGTACCCATAGGAGGCAAATAAGCTGATTTAACAAAATATTCATTGTTTTGCTTTCAGTTACTTCCAGATCTTGAATATGACAAAAATGTCAGGGTTTTGTGTGTATATAATGGACCACAATTAATGGAACATAAAGAATGGAACCTTAAAAATTTTATCAGGAGGAGAGCTGCTCTTGTTGTTAATAATAACACTAACTCTTAATGATATCAGCTGTACATTTAAAGGGGTTGTATATATAAACATTTTTTTATCCTAAAACATAAAATATATGTACTTAAATGTAATTACAATTAATAATGTAAACAAATTTATTTAAAATGATTTGATAAACTCTTGCAATATGCACACATTTTCTACATGTTTTAAATATTTCTTATTTTAAGCAAGCATAATTTTTTTTACTGAGGTGAAATTGTCAAATTTGTTTTTAATTCTATTTAAGGGTCAAGTCAACAATATTTCAGCTAAATTAAATGTATATATATTGAATTTGTAAGTAATGTCATAAAGTATCATTTTATTACTATGTCTGAAAAATTCCTTAAAAGGATAGCATTTATGTATTATATATGATGTTATGAAAAACAGTTAAGAGCTGCAGCGATTTATAGCTTTTACCAACCTTGTTGACGGATAAAACTTTGTGTTCAATTTTTTTTTTGGATTTTAATTTGAATCGGAAACTGGAATGATTTTTTTTAAACTGGCTGGTTTGACAATTAGCTATCTTTGTGTAAACAAAGTTTGATGTCTGTGTGTAAATGAAATGTTGGTAGAAAAAGTTTTATAACAATAACAGTCTGATGTCTGTATGTATTTGAAATGTTGATAGAAAATGTTTTATAACAGACTGATGCCTGTGTGTATTTGAAATGTTGGTAGAAAATGTTTTATAACAGACTGATGTCTGTGTGTATTTGAAATGTTGGTAGAAAAAGTTTTATAACAATAACAGTCTGATGTCTGTATGTATTTGAAATGTTGATAGAAAATGTTTTATAACAGACTGATGTCTGTGTGTATTTGAAATGTTGGTAGAAAGTGTTTTATAACAGACTGATGTCTGTGTGTAAATGAAATGTTGGTAGAAAAAGTTTTATTGTTCTATTTTTTTCTAGTAAACATAATGTTAAAATTCATAATTAAAAATAATTAAACTATAAGCACTGATTTTTTGTTAAAATCTAACTTAAAAATAATAGTTAATTAATGATAAGTGTATAGATCTAGGCGCATTATATATCTTATTCCAGCTGTCTGTGGTGCACTGTGGGGCCCCTGACCCCTAATTAAAAATTTTCACTGTGCTTTTTTCCCTTCATCAAAGTCAAAGCCCGAGTTTTATGCATTTGCACAAAGGAATGGTAAAATACAAAGAATTTTTTTAAGACCACAATAAAGTTTTTAAAAATAGGCCTACAACATTTTAAAATAAGATGTAAAACGGAAAAGTAAAGCCGGACTGTATCACTATCAAAACAGTCAAATATTTCTATTTCTGCTTCCAAAACCTTGATAATATAGTGTAGAAAATAGTAGGCTAGGCCAACAATAAAATTAAAGTAATACTAAAACTAATAAACATTGTATATGTTGTGAATAGTCAGGCTCCTGTTTTGTTCAAATTTAAAACAATCTCTGCATAGTAAATAGAGGGGATTCAAATAAAGATATTTCCGTTACTATAGTATATATAGTAACATAATCTATATTATAAACTTGTTATTTGAATTTTTAAAGCAGTGAACTCATTTAACGTTATTCGAAGTATAGTATAAAGAATTCCAATCCATTGTTAAGGGTTCATACTTAAAGGACTACATGATCATGCAAGGAAGGTGGGTGGGGCGGTCTTAGATTTGCTAAAAAAAAATAGCGATTTGAGCACTTCCTTACAAAACTACTCTTGCATCTAGATCTAGATATCCCCTTATGGAATTGAAACAACATGTGACGTATCGGAAAAGTTAAGCCCCTCCACTCAGAGTTTCTTCCAGGCATCTCTTCAATGGGGGGGGGGGGGGGGGGGGGGCTCCGACCCCCCCCCCCCCGAACGAAATTTATATAATTTATATAGAAAATATATACTTTTAACAGTGTCCGCCCCCCCCCCCCCCCGAAGAAAGTCTACCGCCCCCCCCCCCCCCCCCCCCCCCGAAAATTTGTCTGGAAGAAACACTGCCTCCACTTTTTGCTAGTTCCACCACAACCTTGAGGATTAGGGTTTGAGTTACCTAGATACCTTTTTGTGGAAATTATTGATGTTTCAATTTCACCCTTTTCAATAAAAACTAAAAGTAGAAGTTTTATATCCTCTTTTTAAATCATCTATTTGGGTGGCGGGGTTAACTTTTTTTTTGGCGGGGCTTGTCTGGAAAAGAAAAGATCCCTGTATCCAAATAAGTAGGTCAGGTTCTTCAAGCATCTTCGAAGCCCGCATAAAAAAAAAATGACGTAGGCCTAAAAAAGCAAATATTTCTAGTGAACCGAGCAAACCGCATCGGGTCACACAGCTGCAGTAAACAAACCGCTATAGGGCTTAGTTTGAGAAGCATGTAGAATCTAGGCCCTATTGTTATTTGTTTAGACAATTGTATAGATCTAGATCTATATCATAAATATATCTCTAGATCTAGATGTAGGCGTGTCCTACACACGGTTACACCCACTGTCAGTATGACTTTAGTATAGAGCTAGCAGACTATACTTTGTCGTTCAGTACTCGAGATCTAGATCTAGATTCTATTATAGATTCTAGATCTGTATTTTTAAATAATAAAATATAGTTTAATATAGGATCTAGATTTAGATACTTTAGTTAGGTACAGTAGTAGATCTAGACATAGAGCTAGATCTAGTAATAAATAGTAGATCTAGTACTACTAGTAGTAGTACTACTACTAGATCTAGACTACTAGGCAGTAGAGTAGGGCCTATAGTTCGAAGTAGATATCTAGTCTAGATCTAGTCTATATCTAAACGTCTAATCTAGACCTAAATTAAATAAAAGTTCGTAAATCAAATCTGGATCTAGATCTAGAATAGATTTTCTATAGGGGGCCTATAAATTAAATAATAAATAAATTGATCTGAAAGCGTCTAGTAAAGTCTAGTTTAAGTTTAGTCACGATTTTTTAATGGCAGCTAGATTAGAATTTAATCTTGATCTAGATCTAGATCTAGAACTAGATAGATCTAAGATTAGAATTATTAGATCTAGAATAATCTAGACTCTAGAATACTCTAGATCTATAAGTAAGTAAGTATCCTATGCCTATAGTACTAGATCTAGATATATCTATATTCAATATATTCTAATAAAATAGATCTAGAGAATCCAGTATTGTTTAATTAATATTAAATGATACTAGATCTATTACTATAATTTAAGATAGGCCTATAAGTATAATAATAATTGGCATATATAATCTATTATAAAATAGGCATTTGGCCATAATTTATTAATAGAAATTTAATTTTCCTGGATATCTAAAGTCTTAGGGCTGGATATTGGATATATAATCTAGATCTAGGCCTAATTACTAATTAAATTAGAAAAAAATTAGGTGGTTAATCATAATGATAGCATATGGCCTGCAGCCTTTAACTGTCTATAGGATCTAGATCTAGAGCAGATCTTATGTGTCAAACAAGCTATGGAAGAAACAAATAAAGATCTACACGTTAGGAATAAAGCTTCACTGGGTAAATTGGGCACCCAATCAGCTCCAGGTTTTCTGTCACTTTTACAGAAGGACAAAGCCTACAGATGGAGGGTTACACAATCTTTTCTGCTTTCATTATCCAGTTTCACTTTGGTATGTTTGTTTTCTGCTTATTTTAGTTAATTTTTTGGCTGGAATGCAGATTCTAGTCTTAAATCATATCTATATATAATTTTATATATATTGTTTTTCTTTTTAGGGTATTATTATTGGTCAACAAGGGCCTACATTTTTAGACCTGCAGATTATCACAGGGACTGATGTTGAGACTGCCTCTTCATTTTTTACTGCGGGGTCATTTGGTTACATGGTTGGATCTTTCATCAGTGGCTTTGTACATGGCAAGGTAGGACTAGTTTGCCATTAACAGCTCATTGTTTTCTATTTAATACTTCATTTTAACTAAATTTTCATGAAAGTAAACATCTGATCTCAATATCAGGTCAAAAACAGTGTATTCATGGCCATTGTCAATGCAGGGGCTGGAATCATGGCTATCATCACACCTTACTGTTCACCTTTTGCTCTCATGCTAGTGATCAAATTTTCAACAAGCATATTCTGTGGAGGTATAGATACCAGTAAGTCTTTTATTTATTATATTTTTGGTTTTCATATAAACAACACCTTAATGTCAAAGAAAATTATTTATACATTTCTCTTTCAGTTGTGAATGCTGAGCATATACGTATATGGGGCAGTGATAATCAGCCTTTACTTCAATTTATACATTTTACATTTGCACTAGGAGGGGTTCTCACACCACTGTTTACAGAGCCCTTCCTAGCAGAGAAAGAAACAGGAAACAGTACCATTAGAACAGATGGTGAACCTACAATTTTTATGAACTCAACAAGTCAGTGGAAGCAAGAAAATACATCCAACATGACATGGTTAGCTACCAATGGTACCATGTTAGTAAAAGCAAGAACTACAAATGTTCATTATGCATTTCTTATATCTGGCATCATTGCTATACTAACTTCTTTTCCATTTATATATCTAAGTATTGTAGAAAAGTCCACAGAACACAAATCTGAAGAGAAATACACTCAAAAGGTTCATAGTAGAAAACTTCCTAGACATTTAAATATATTTGTTATCTTAGTTTTATGTTTCTTCTTTCTAGTTTATTGCTGTGTAGAGGATACATTTGCATCATTCCTCATGACTTTTGTTGTTACTGAATATGATGAAGTTTCTAAATCAAAAGGTGCTTACATAACCACTTTCTATTGGGCCTCGTTTGCAGTGGGCAGATTTCTCAACATTTTTGTGTCAAAATATGTCATAGCTGTGAAATTAATTAGTTTATACACATTCCTAATGGTAATAGCTTTTTCATGTTTTACAATAAGTGCTTTCTTTGCACAGATTGATGCAATCACAGTTTTTGCTGGCATGGCTGGTATTTCCATGTCTGCTGTTTTTGCTGCTGGTTTTGGTTGGACAGAATCAGAACTTCTTAAAGTAACTGGTTGGGTTTCTTCTTTCATTCTGACTGCTAATTCTCTTGGCTTGATGATCAACCCACTAATCATTGCTTATCTCATGGAAGAAGTTTCTAACATGTGGTTCTGTTATGTTTTGTTGTTACAAACATTTGTAGTTTGCAGTACCTTCTTATTTCTCCTGTTATTTAACAGATGTTATCTCAACAAAGTTTATGGAAAAGTTGGAGATAGTAAAAATTTAGAGATAGTTGTGGAGACTCCACTTCAAGAAACAGAAAAATTTCTAGAGAATGACTTAAAAACATCAGAAAATGTTCCAAATATCAATTTAACTTTATGAAAATATATTATGTTTTCACTTTGTTGTAAAATAATAATTTACATTTTATTGTAATTATAATAATATTAATTTTTTACAAAATAAAAAATACTATTCCATTTTCCACCTGCAATTTTTTTGGTTATAGATTCTAAGTTATAGATCAGAATGTGATGCAGAATGCATCAAGTATAAAGAAGGATTTAATGTAAGACATCTGTGGTATTTTTTTTAGATTAAGCAAATATTTTGTCTTAATAAAGTGTATACACAATGCAGAATAATGTGCCATTTTAAATTCAATAGGTTACCACAATTTTGTGATACTGTATTTTAAAAAAAATAGACTTATGTTTTAATAAGTTACCACAAACATGTTTGTGAAATAGATTACCTTTGTAGTAATGATGAAGAATGCTGATGCTAGAGTTGGTGCTTTCTTCTGTAAGTTTTTATTATGAAAGTTTTATATATGAAGTTTTTGTTCTCCTTTTTTAAAAATTTGCTCATGCCAAAGACATTAATTCCTTGAGCAATATGCTAATTTTATTTATTTTGGGGTAGTTCATTAAAATGAATAAACTAATTAAAGCAGACATTGCTTTGTTATTTGAATACTAAGTAATTATAAATATATCAAAGTGTTTATTATGATCATTAAACACCACTTAAAGTTAAAAAAAAAAGGAACAATTCTATAAAATTACTTTTTTTAAAAATTCTAGTAAACAGGCAAACAAATAATAGTAATTAGGTTTTTGCTCTAATAGTAGCAAATTTTAATAATGGAGTTTTGCTCTGTAAGTGAAGAAATATCAAATATTTTATAGATTTATATTTTCAAGAAAGGTTAAGTTATAGAACTGTTTATTCCAACTAGAATTACTATAAGAACAAGAGATTCAGTACTGCAATATGATAAAAATGAAGTCATTGTTCTTTTCCTACAATTTTTTTAAACTTTTTAAGTACCAAGCTGTGAATTAAAATATCTGTTATATAATCCTTTATCCTGGTGTTGAGATATTTAAACAAAATAATAAATTAGGAACCACAGCTTTGTGGTATAACCAACAATACTTTTATCATGTTAAAATTACCACAAACAAATATTTATTGAATTGTTTACCAAAGTGATGGAGAATCTGATGACATAAAATATGTTCTTCTTTTTTGAAGAAATAAAAATATTTTTTATTTGTGTTGTTTGTTATGTTTATTCTGACCTTAGAACAAGATTATAATTTATATTTACTGAGTTTGAGATTCTTGAAATATTTTTCTTCTTTAAATTTAAAATTGAATTTAGATATGGAAAGCTGCTTTAGATGGACATAAGCAAAATATTTTTGCTATCTTTTCTCACTGAATCTTTCCATAGTGGTAATTTATAAAAATTGTAATACTATTAGTATTATATTTACTAACAATCTGATCAAGATAGTGAAAAAGAACATGCGGTAATTTATTCACAGTTTTTTTGCTACATTATCACTAAGTTGCTTGATGCTAAAATTTTAAAGTATTTTGTTTATGATTTTATATCAGTTATCAATAAATAGGCCTAATGCGGCATAATCAATCTACAAGAAACATGCTGACCCTAATTTTTGAATTAAAATTGGTAAATAATAGAAGTTTAAAAAGAATTTTCTTTACTTCCTTCATTGCATGTAGGCCTGTAATTGACAAATGCAAAATTCTCCAAGTTAGCTTTCAAACTAATCTTAAATAAAAATGTATGTATTAAAGTTTAAACGATGTAGGAATAGTACTATACATAACAAAAAAAAAAAAATACAGCTTTGGTTAGATTCCTTTTGGTGCATCCAAACATGTGAGTCCAAAAGTGTTTTTATTTTTGCCTAATTAGATTGTTTTTTTTTGTGTGCATCAACATTAAATGTATGAACGATTGAAAATATGAAATTAAAAAATGAACTTTAATTTGTGGAAAAATCAAAATGTGACAGTTTTTAGACCCAAATGTTGAAATGTTTGAATTTATTTTTCACATTATTATACATCAGAGGCAGAAACTTTAATTATTTTAAACAGTTTGAATCTGTTTTAGCTTTTAGAAAAACAAGCTTTTTCTGATATTTAGACTTTGTATACAAATAATACAACTTCTGATGTTATAATTATTGAATCTTCTTGATAATGGGGTATTAGGTTGCTAGTCATCAACATTCATGTGGACACTTTTTGAGCATGAGATATCCCAAGTTCCAATTTGTATGGACTTGTTTTTGATACCAGATCTTCTGTAGGAGTGAATTATATTTGTTGCAGGTCCAGCTGACCTTTCATAATGTTCTTAATGCCTTTAACTTTAGACAGTAGTCACTAGTAGCAGTTCTGATGCGGGTGGTTTGTCAGGAATAGATGGTATCTATAGGCCTCTAAATACTGCAAGGTTTACAAAGAGTGATATGGCAACGTAGACTAAAATAGAAATTAGTAGAATAGAATTAACCAAGGCCAGGACCAACAGGAGTTGAAAACTGTCCTCAGTATTTAGAGGCCAATTCCTGATATATATATATATATATATATATATATATATATATATATATATATATATATATATATATAATTATTTAATATATGGTAGATTTTGGCAAAATGTGTAGTTCAATACAGGTGCTGGAAAGTGTGTTTATGCTTTTGTAAACTCTCCCTCATCACTGAAAAAGTCCACCCCTACTCTAATGTGTGATGTCATTTATGGACAATCTCCCCCCCCCCCTTTTTTTTTCATGTTTGATAATTTAATTACTTTAAAAATAAAAAAAGCAGGTTTTGAAATTGAACCCCCAACCTTTTCTTTTTTTTTTTTAAATTAAAAGACAAATGAACTTAGTAAAGTAAATAGCATGCTTTGTACATAATTTAAAAAAAAAGGAAAATCGGTGATTATTTTTTCGTCAGCAAAATAAGTTTTCCATGCGAATAGAATCAAAAGGGAAACCACTCAAATGAATATGTAGCCGTAGGCTTTTGAAATGGCCGCTATTCGCTGTTTATTTTGATTGCAAAATGTGTAGGCTCTAAACTATAAGCTAATTTTTTACACAAGAATTTAGGTCTAATGATAATAAATGAGTAGGGAGACGTTCTTTTTTAAAGGCCCAACACTGTGGGTAGCGTGGTATGTTACCTCACATATTCAAATGAAATTGTATTGTTTTTAAGCCCACAGGAGAGGCCGTGCCGGGGGGATTTCGTTGGACATTTAATTTTATATTTACTTTTAATAATTTTATTCATCAAGGCCTAGACTAAAGTGGATTTGTTTTTACATAACATTAGTCATTAGGCCTAGAGAATCTATTGACCTGTTAAAACAATCTAGATCTAGACTCTAATTTTTTAAAAAGGTTATTGACTCTGATCCGCTCGCATAAAAACAAATGCTTCTCAAGCGAGTCGAAGTGTAACATGACCCTAAGAAAATCATGTCTAAATCAGGGTATATCAAACTGTGGTACAAAAAACTATGGTCCACGTGGATGCTTGAGCACACCTTGCCTTAGGCCTAGTTTTAATGTTATTTTTATTATTACTCAGTGTTAGCGCATTATTAGTCATGCCATTTTAGCCAATATTTCAATATTCACTGAGTCTATACTATCCTAAGTTTAAACAAACATTTATTGATAAAATTCAGTAGGGGCCTATTAGATTTGTAAATTATGAAGGCTTAAAGCAGTGTGCAACTCCATCTATAAATTTTATTATTCTACATAACATAAAGATGGAGGATAATTTACAATGCAAAGGATCACCTAGTAGTAAATCTAGTAGAACACAGCCTGCTCCTGGTGTTCTATCACAACTACAAAATGATAAAGCCTACAGATGGAGGGTTACACAAACTTTCCTGTTATCATTATCTTATTTCACTTTGGTATGTTTTTTTTTTTTAAATTTTATGATATTGATTGTAATATAGGCTAATATTCTTACTTTACTTTAATTTAGAACAGAACTGTATGGAGCCAAATAAGATAAATAATTTAAATATTGTCCTTTATATATCTATGTGTGTGTGTGTATATTATATATATATATATATACTATATATATATATATATATATATATATATATATATATATATATATATATATATACATATATATATATATATATATATATATATATATATATACACACACACACACATAAAGATTTAAATTTATGCGTCTTAACTTATTGGTATGACTGCTATCTGTACAATAGGCCTAATGTGTTGAGTGTGTTTTTTAATAATATTTATATTATAATGAGCAAAATTATATAAGCAGTTCACATTTTCTTTCCTTTCTTAGGGTATTATTTTAGGTCAACAAGGGCCATCATTTTTAGACCTGCAGATTATCACAGGGACTGATGTTGAGACTGCCTCTTCATTTTTTACTGCTGCATCATTTGGTTACATGGTGGGATCTTTCATCAGTGGCTTTGTACATGGCAAGGTAGGACTAGTTTGCCATTAACAGCTCATTGTTTTCTATTTAATACTTAAATAATGCACATTTTCATGAGAGTTAAAATCTGTGATTTCATTGCCAGGTTAAAAACAATGTGATAATGGTCATTATCAATGTAGGGGCTGGAGTTATGGCTATCATCACACCTCACTGTTCACCTTTTGTTCTCATGCTGATAATCAGATTTTCTACTAACATGTTCTGTGGAGGTATAGATACCAGTAAGTAGTTTTTGGGCCACATTTACCAAAGTTAAAGCTTGAGATGGAAAGAAGCTTCCTAGATAGAATTTTACTACATGTTTCTGTTAACTAGCCACTCCTTTCTCACCTGCCACTATAGTGAGCTATGGTTCAACTTGTGTATAAAAACACAGGGAAAAACAGTGAGCATAGTGTTACAGAGGAACAGAAGTTTAGCATGGTGACCATTTAGTAATAAACTGAGTAACCATTTTACATGAATTATAGGCCTTCATACTTCAAAACACCATGTATAGGAGAGACAACTCCAAAATTAAACAACTGCTGCCTTGTAGTTTGTTCTTGCTTGGACAAAGGCTATGGAGGAAACAAATCCAAAATAAAAGCAGGCTGAAATCGGAGTCAATGGCCTAAGTGGCACATAGCCAGTTGACACATATACTTGTGTTGGAGGCATGGTCAAGTCGGCAAAAGCTCATGGTTGTTTAATTCGAAAAAGTCTCGAGTTCAAACCCTCTGGCAGATATGGCTCGGTCCCTTCCAACACTAAAAATTAAGAACAAAGAAGAAGAAGAAACTAGTAAACAAAAATCATGTCATTTCAGCTCTTTACTTTAACATTATTTAAAAAAATTTTGAAATTTTTTATGTGCAACTATCTTTTTCAGTTGTGAATGCTGAGCATATACGTATATGGGGAAGTGATGGTCAACCACTTCTACAATTTATACATTTTACATATGCTTTAGGAGGGGTTCTCACACCATTGTTTACAGAGCCCTTCCTAGCAGAGAAAGAAACAGGGAACAGTACCAGTAGAACATATGGTGAACCTACAATTTTTATGAACTCAACAAGTCAGTGGAAGCAAGAAAATACATCCAACATAACATGGTTAGCTACCAATGGTACCATGTTGGTAAAAGCAAGAACTACAAATGTTCATTATGCATTTATTATATCTGGCTTCATTGCTATACTAACTTCTTTTCCTTTTATATATCTAAGTTTTATAGAAAAGTCTACTGAACAAAACTCTGTAGAGAAATACACTCAAAAGGTTCACAGTAGAAAACTTCCTAAACATCTTACAGTCCTGTTAATCTTTGCTATATCTTTCTTCTATTTAGTTTATTGCTCTGTGGAGGATACATTTGCATCATTCCTCATGACTTTTGTTGTTACTGAATATGATGAAGTTTCTAAGTCAAAAGGTGCTTACATAACTACTTTTTACTGGGCCTCCTTGGCTGTGGGCAGATTTCTCAGCATTTTTGTGTCAAAATATGTCATAGCTGTGAAATTAATTAGTTTATACACATTCCTAATGGTAATAGCTTTTTCATGTTTTACAATAAGTGCTTTCTTTGCACAGATTGATGCAATCACAGTTTTTGCTGGCATGGCTGGTATTTCCATGTCTGCTGTTTTTGCTGCTGGGTTTTCATGGACAGAATCAGAACTTCTTAAAGTTACTGGTTGGGTTTCGTCTTTCATTCTTATTGGGAGTTCTACAGGTATGATGATCAACCCACTTATCATTGGTTATCTTATGGAAGAAGTTTCTAACATGTGGTTCTGTTATGTTTTGTTGTTACAAACATTTGTAGTTTGCAGTATCTTCTTATTTCTCCTGTTATTTAACAGATGTTATCTCAACAAAGTTTATGGAAAAGTTGGAGATAGTAGAAATTTAGAGATAATCGTGGAGACTCCACTTCAAGAAACAGATACGTTTCTAGAGAGTGATTTGAAAACATTAGAACAATTTTCCAGTATCAGTTTAACAACATGAAAAGAAAATTATGTTTTTAGTTTGATTTTTAAAAACAATTTAATAATTTTTCTTTGTCTTTGTTGTCATCTTCAGTACAGGAGTCGCTATTTCTTTTCATACTTTTAAATCCTTTGCTTTGATTTCATTCTCCTTTCAAATAATTTAATAGTTAATAATATTCCTCACGTTACTCATGTTGCCATACCCATTTCATGCATCACCTTAATGTTCCTGTTGCCAAGCTGGTCTTTCTCTTAGAAAAGTTTAAGCCTGCTGTTCAGTTTTTTCTATATGTTTTCTCATAAATATTTCCCCTTTCCTTCATGGCTGTTGACATTGTACATTATTGTAAGGTTTTTCTTCAGTCACAATGTCTTTTTGTGACAAAACTTGTTACTCAATTTTGACCCGGTTCTAATGCAGTATATGCATTTTTACTACTTTCCATATTAATTTGTATACCATTACAATGCAAAAACATCTAATTTTCATTCTAATTTTATATTTAATTAGTCATTTCAAATTCATGTATAAATTAGCAAAAAGTATAAATGGGGAGGCAAACTGATACATTAGTAGCAATATCTGATCATTTAGACGTGATGTATTCATTGATGTTTTCATATATGAGAACCAAACATAGACTTAGCAGGGGCAGGTCATTGTTGTTTAAAACTAATGTGGATGTTGGCTTAATTAAAATTAACCGAATGAAAATAAAAATATATAAACGTACTCATAATGCTTATTATTAGAAACATTTCTAAATACAGGTTTTATTCTATTATAAATAAGGCAGAATAATCAAAGCAACAAGGATTTAATGTCATATGTGGTATCTATATTTAAGAAGAATGTTTTGTTATATTAATGAAGTGTATGCACAATGCAGGATAATGTGATATTGTAAATTCAACTTAAAGTATTTATAAGGAACCCTAATTTGTGGTAATGTATTTTTAAAATGAATTATGTTTAAATAAAACATGACCAAATTTTTTGTCAAGTTGATTATGTATGTGATGAAGGATTATGCTAGAGGTTATAGTTATAGTGCTTTTTTCTGTTTTGTTTTAAATAGTACCAATATAACAAAACTGCTTAAATTCTCCTTTTTTTACACATACCAAGGCCATTAAACCCTAGACCAGTGTGCTAATTTTTAAAATTTTAAGATGATTAGTTCACTTCAATTAGAATAAATTGAGCAGGTGTAGTTATGAAACATTTGCTCAACATGCCTAAAACACAGTGTGGAAAGGTACATCTGCAACCCTTTCCTCTTCATTATCAAAGGATTTAGTCAGTTATGATTTTAGTAATATTTAATAAGTAAAAAGGTAATTTGTCGTTTTTTAAATGTTTTCTTTTCAATACTTATTCATTTTAATACAGCACAATTGCATGACTAAGTAACTTGCGCGCCAAATGACACAAGAAGTGTATACTATTAACGCGGAAAAAACTACTTTTTTAAATAGTCATTGGGTCTTGACCAACGTGCCAAGTGTCAAAGAAATAGGTCCATTAGAAGTGATCGAAGTCTCGCTCGTCAGTTTTAACCCATAAACACGACAAAAGCAACAGCGTCTTCGTAAAATGCGAGAAGAAACATTTTTTAATATGCCAATTCTAAACAGCGTAGCTTCTACGATCGCCGGATCATTTTTTCGTGTCCGTGGGAGAAAAATCCGAACACGGTATAGGGCATAGGGGTCACTGTAAGTCAGTGTTAGTTTCATATGGTTTAGATTAAGCGTGTAGGCACTTGCAAAATTAGCGTTACAGAAACCAAGGTCAAGAGTAGTCTACATTTCTTTATACTTTATAGAATGGCAACATTTAACTTTTATTTGCATGAAAATTTAATTCAAATATGAAGGCCTAACCGAAAAATATCGGACATATAAAGAACATAATCGAACATTAGGCCTAAAAATTAATTTATTTATCTAATCATTGAACAATAAAAATAGTTATTCAATCATCGAAGAATTTTGGGTGTTATAAAAATTTGAACATCAGATTCACTGGACTTGAAATACGTTTGAGGCAGCGCGGCTACAAATAAAAATTCAAACTAAAAAAAAAAGTTTAAAAATTCTGCATCAAAGTTCATGTAAATCATCAGCGTGTTGGAATTCGGGTGTGGTAAAATGTTCGCAGATATCAGCGTCTGCGTATGAATCGGGTTGGAGTAAAACGCGAGACAAAACTGTCGGTGCACTAATTCGTATTTTACCAAGACTGCATGTTTAGGCCTACTACTACTATCAATAGCAATATAAACTATAAACAGAAAGGGATATTTCAATGCTAAGGGTAGACACAGATACAGAATATAGCCCTAGTAAAGACAGAGCAGTTTTAACCAAGCGGGATCCTAACCTACCATTCCTCGCGGCACTAATTTGCATCGCCTGCATCAAGTCAGTCGTGTAAACACTTGTAGAGCTTTCCACACCCTCCCAATTACTACTAGGAAGCAATTAAATTTAAAAAACATGCATAAAAACCTTTTAATAACAAACTATTATGTAATATTCCACTAAAAAGGAGAAAATTAATGATTTCCTTTGAATATATAACAGTGTACTAATTTCAGAAAACTTTAATCAATTCATTAAAAATTAATTAGTCATACAATTCAGTCAAATTTAATATTATATTGCAAAATAGTGCCAAATTTTAAAGAAATTTATCGGTTAGAAGTGCCCGAAATTTTGCTCTTCTGTTTCGATCAAGGATTAAGAAAGACCGATAGACAGAGGAAGCAAGTTTTAAAAAAAGCTTGTAAAAATAGCGAAGGTTTTTTTTTTCACGTTTCTCGCGGAAAAATGTTTTCGTAAACTTTCGTAAGTTGGTGTAAGTTGTTAGTTCTGTTTAAAAAATAATCTATTTGGCAGTCGGGTCTGTTAAGAGTTAAGACCATCATAGATCTAAATCTAATTGATCTTTGTCATTCTTGGCCCTACTTACTGTCATAGATAAAATTATCTCCTCTTTAAGTAGAACTTTGTCTATAGTCTATTTTCCTATCCCAAAAGTATTTTGTTATTAATTTAATGAATACAAAATAGTAGGCCTAGAGTTAAGTATAGTATATAGTATAGTCATAGTGTGGTAAAATAGGGTTAAAATAAAATAGTACATACTAAATAACCAAATGATTTAAGAAAATTGGCTAACATGTAAGAGCGCATATTCTAACTTTAAACTTAAACTTTTAAAGTTTAAATTATCATATTTTTGCTTATCTACGAATAACTAAAGCATTTGTATATGGTAAGCATTCATTGTAGGCTATGTTAAAATTATATTAATAATTCCAATTCCATACAGATCAAAATCTAGGCGAGTCCATTTTTTTTTTTTTAATTTCAAGTATTTTAAATTCGTTGTTTGGCTAGAGTACTAAGAGTAGCAATTCATTTAATTTTTGTGTGAATGGTAACATGACCCAAAACCAAAAGTACCATGGTACAAAAAACTGTTACAATAAACCATGGTACAACAAACTTTGGTACACACTCATGCTTTTGCACACTTTAGGCTTACTTCTATATCCAATTAGGTAGGCTAGGCCTGCACACTGTAGACTTACATACACCCTAGTTCCAAGTTTAATAGTTTATGCTATTGTAATTTTCATTGAAATAAATGTTTGTTCAAATTTTAAGGATGTGGTCTTATAAATTAAATTAACTACGATGAATTGAACTAGGCTTAGAGTTTAGATGAATGAATAGTAAAATAAAATAGTGTAGCCTATAATTTAAAGAATATGCCAACCGACTGACTAATATAATAAGGATGGAAGAAAATATACACAGTGAAGGATCACCTAGTAGTAAATCTTGTAGCACACAGCTTGCTCCCGGTGTTCTATCGCGACTACAAAACGACAAAGCCTACAGATGGAGGGTTACACAATCTTTCCTGTTCTCCTTATCCAGTTTCACGTTGGTAGGTTTTTCACAATGCTACGTTGCTTAGCACTACTTTTTTTAAAAAAGCGTAGACACTTTGAAAATTTTCATTTAAAAAAGTTTTAGCAGCTTATTTCACGTTTTAATTAACTTTTTAAAAAGCGAAGGGTCTAATTGAAAATTAGTTAGATCTATTATAATATGTATGTTGACCTAGCTCAATAATATTTTTGAAATAAATCGATGTATAAAATAATAAAAAACTGCAATTTAAGGGGGGGGGGGGGGGTTAAAGCCCCCCCCCCTCTCCCAACAGTAAAATCTACAAAAAAGCTTGACGTCGTTTATGGATGACCCCGTATTTATATCTAAATGTGTTGACTTACCTATTCAGTTTCGTAAATAACATATTTTCACCACAAGAGGTCATAACATGGTTGATATGTTTATTGATTGGCTCAATCTCAAATTTAAGTTTTATTATGAACAAGCATGAAAAATTCAATTAAAACAACAAGCAATTTGATTTTTTTTTTCAAAGTGGAAATGAGTAACACACATTAACAACCTCTCCCCTCCCCCCCCCCCCCCCCCCCCCGTTTTAAATAGGTCGACCTTATTCTTAACATACTTGTTATTTTGTATGTATGCCTACAAAAGAAATTGTTTATAAAAATTAAAAAAAAATAATGATAGACCACACTTATCAATAGAAATGAAAGGTGTAGACCCTAGATACTTGGCAGTGGTAATATACAGAATGTTAGAGCTTATAATAATGTGATGTAATGATTATAATGGTAACAGTTTACCTTTAATGTAACTAAATAAATTTGGACACATAACTGGCACCCAGATGTGAAAAAAAAAATATCCTTGATGTAATGGTCTTTGAAGTGTATTAATCATCTCATTATATGTACAGGTACTTGATTTCATCAGCATAGTAAAATAATATGTATTGTAAGTGTAAAGTTCGTTGGAAAATCCTGGAAACAATTATGGTGGTTCCTCATTGAACCTCAAAATTAGCCTCAGTTGACTTCTATCAGAGCAATGCACCAATATTTTCAACAAGTAGTTGTTTTACACAAGACAGCTAGTAACTTAAGGAATTTACATTTAAAAAAATAAAATTCACTGCTGTATAAACTATTGGTTTTATACAACAAACAAGTATTTGTACAGCATCACCATATACAAGCAAAAGCTCTGTTATCCTATTCAATTCTGTATTTAGGGCATCATAATTGGTCAGCAAGGGCCATCATTTTTAGACCTGCAGATTATCACAGGGACTGATGTTGAGACTGCCTCTTCATTTTTTACTGCTGCATCATTTGGTTACATGGTTGGATCTTTCATCAGTGGCTTTGTACATGGCAAGGTAGGTCTTGATTTCATTAACAATTCATAGTTTCTATTTAATTCTTTATTTATAGGCTATGCATTTTTAAACTAAATTTTCTTCTGTGAACTCATTATCAGGTTAGAAACAATGTCGTCATGGTCATTGTCAATGCAGGAGCTGGAATCATGGCTATCATTACCCCTCATTGTTCACCTTTTGTTCTCATGCTAATGAGCAGATTTTCTACTAACATGTTCTGTGGAGGTATAGATACCTGTAAGTACTTTGTTTTTTTTCACATGTACAAACAGGTCAATATTATAACTATAATGTTTCTCACTTGCTACATAATGATTTTTCCATTTTTAACGTATAAAGTGACTGGAATGAATTATTTTTTTATTCAGTTGTATTTAAGATAAAAGAAAGATATTAAACTGTTAAGTTGTGTCATTTTACCTCCTATTTTTTATGGTTACAAAAGCAAAGATGTCTAGTGAAATCAGTCAAGCCTCATTTTCATTTATTTACTTTGGTGATAATTTCACAATACACTAATAGATGCATTACTATTTCTTCACTCATACAACTGTTGTTTTAACCAGAGTAGCATAGTGTATGTTTTAACCCTAGCAGTTTTTAATTTTATTTGTCTTATTTGTCTTTATGGCAGCTGATATATTGAGCGTAGGTAATAGTTCAATGTTAAGTCTTAGATAATTCTATAGCATGGAGCAGAAAACAAGATTGCCAACGTATCACCTGCTTGAAGCTTCTCGCTATGTCGAAAACAGAAATAACAACAAGTGTTGCAATGTAGGCCTAAATAATTAGATACCTTCATAGTTCGAAATTTTTTTTAGGAGACATTCATATTATTTTAAAAATTTATAGTCCTGTGCATGCGTACATATTTATTTTTTTGTGGCATGGGTTCTATTCTTTTTGTATCAGAGTTTTTATTTTGCTTTTTTTTTCTATTTTACTATTAAAAGCTGGTTTTTTTTTAAAATAATTTTTTGGGGTTAGGCATTAAGGTTAGGGTAAGGCATTAGGTTTAGAGATTAGGTTTTGGGTTAGACATTGAGATTAGGTGCTAGTGTTAAGATTTAGGCAATAGTGTTAGGGATCAGGGTTAGTGATATCGAGGTGAGTTCTAAAGATATTAGATCCACATATTGCACAAATAGTGGAGTAAAACAATCACAGACAAAAAAATTCTTTGCCTTTTAATGCTGCAGCCTTTTAATAACAATATGTGTGACTTACAAAAAAAAGCATTTCTAGTTCACTGCTATTTGTTAAAAAATAAGCTTTGTATCAAAGTAAAATTTAGGGAAAACATATTTAGTTTTTAATTAGTTAAAACTTTTAAAACAATAATAAAATATGTTTAAAATAAATGATATCTTAACAGAGAGTTTTATTTGTAAGACTGATTAAAATTGGTTAAAAATATTATGTTGCAATAGTATAGTTTAACTTTAGTTTATAAATTATTATACTTAAAATAAAAATAAAAAAAATTAAAATAATCTGTACATGTAAATTAATTTTTCAGTTGTGAATGCTGAGCATATACGTATTTGGGGAAGTGATGGTCAACCACTTCTACAATTTATACATTTTACCTTTGCTTTAGGAGGGGTTCTCACACCATTGTTTACAGAGCCCTTCCTAGCAGAGAAAGAAACAGGGAACAGTACCAGTAGAACAGATGGTGAACCTACAATTTTTATGAACTCAACAAGTCAGTGGAAGCAAGAAAATACATCCAACATGACATGGTTAGCTACCAATGGTACCATGTTGGTAAAAGCAAGAACTACAAATGTTTATTATGCATTTCTTATAGCTGGCATTATTGCTATACTAACTTCTTTTCCTTTTATATATCTAAGTATTGTAGAAAAACAAACAGAGCATAAATCTGAAGAGAAATACACACAAAAAGTTCACAGTAGAAAACTACCTCGACATTTAAATATATTTGTTATCTTAGTATTATGTTTCTTCTATTTAGTCTATTGCTGTGTCGAGGATACATTTGCATCATTCCTCATGACTTTTGTTGTTACTGAGTATGATGAAGTTTCTAAGTCAAAAGGTGCTTACATAACTACTTTCTATTGGGCTTCATTTGCAGTTGGCAGATTTCTTAGCATTTTTGTGTCTAAATATGTTATAGCTGTGAAATTAATTAGTTTATATACAATTTTAATGGTCATAGCTTATTCAGGGTTCACAATAAGTGCTTTATTTTCTCAAATTGATGCAATCACAGTTTTTGCTGGCATGGCTGGTATTTCCATGTCTGCTGTTTTCCCTGCTGGTTTTAGTTGGACAGAATCAGAACTGCTTAAAGTCACTGGTTGGGTTTCTTCTTTCATCCTTATTGCTAGTTCAATCGGCATGATGATCAACCCACTTATCATTGGTTATCTTATGGAAGAAGTTTCCAACATGTGGTTCTGTTATGTTTTGTTAAGCCAAACTTTGTTGCTGTGTTGTATTTTTCTATTTCTCCTGTTATTTAACAGATGTTATCTCAACAAAGTTTATGGAAAAGTTGGAGATAGTAAAAATGTAGAGAAAGTCGTGGAGACACCACTTGAAGAAACAGAAAAATTTCTAGAGAATGACTTAAAAACATCAGAAATTCTTCAAAATATTGATTCAAGTTCATGAAAATAAATTATGTTGTTACTTTGTTGTAAAATAATAGTTTAAATTTCATTCTAATATTTTGTTATCTGAATGAAGTGTATGCACAAGGCAGAATAATGTGATATTTTATATTGAATTGGAAACCACAATTTTGGATAGTGTATTTAAAAAAAATAGACTTATGTTTTAATAAGTTACCACAAAGACATTGTTAAATTGATTACTTATTTGATGAATAATATGGATGCTAGAGTTTAGTGATATCTGTATTTTTTAATATTATGATGAGCATCTACATACATTATGCTGGGTAGACACAATTTTGTGATACTGAATTAAAAAAACAATTGACTTCGGTTTTAATAAGTTACCTCAAAATCTTGTTTGTTAAATTGATTACTTATGTGATGATAAAAAATGATAATGTTAGTGTATTGTGCTTTCCTAAGTACGTTTTTATTTTATTTGTAGTGGTATCAACACAAGAAAGTTTGATATTTGTAGATTTGATCTTAATTTTTACTCATTCTTATTTTCACTCTTTAAAATGAATAAATTGAGATGGTATCTATGAATAAAGCATTTTAGGCTATATTTTATGAAATTAGGGAAGTAGATGTGGTTTTGTTGTCACTACCAGGTAATGATAAATATATCAAAGTGCTCTTGAAAAAAAAGCCATTTATTTATGCAACACATTAAAAAAATTAAAATGAATTTTTTACAAATGGGCCAAAAATAATTCACAATGATTCAAGTAACTTAATAAAAAATTATTTTTTAATCAGGGCTAGTATTTTGGTGCACTCATAGCATACTTGTGCTTGATGACGAGCCATGTTTCTGCGCTACGTACATGTTAGGACTTATACAGGCGACGGGACCAACTTAAGCCTACATTAGAGAGATAATGACCTAGACAGATAATGACAAAGATAAAAGACGCCCGAAGAGTTAGCTTACTTACAGAGGACAGTGGGTTAGAAAGTAGATCTATGTGTGATGTGACTTTAGTTTTGATAAAGAGATTTAGTGCGAGAATGACGTTGAAAACAGTAGGTGTATGACCTAGAAGACAAGGAAACGATGGCAGAATTAAGAAGTGGCTTGTGGAGGCGGAAATAAGCAATTCCCTTGTAATTCGTTTTTTAATGAACATTGTGTGTGTGTGTGTGTGTGGAAATGATTACCAGCCTTCAAAAATTTCAGCCGGGGTCCCCGCTCAAGCTTAATCCGCTCCTGCTGCCCCTCCCCCAGGAGAAAAATGTTTGAGACTGTTCGGCAATAAATATATGAATAGCTATTCCATCTTAAAAAGTTATTATATTTCAAACAGGTTCTCGAAATATTTTTAAGCTTAACAGCGCATACATAAAATATCAACTGTTACCTACTCAATTCTTTAACAGCTTTAACGTTAACCGAGTCATTAACCTCAATTGATTAGCTCACGTTACACACTAGATCCATGAGGCGGGTAGCGTGTTGACGTACAATTTGTAAAGGAACTTAATGAGGTAACCAAAACAAGCTTTTGTTATATGCTTGTAGTAGACCTAGGCCTGTATCGACCAGTAAAAGAAGCTTTTACAACTGCTTAGTTGCTTACACAAAACTCATCATAAATGTTTTCGATATTTTTTAAAGTGATTCTAAAATGATTCTTTTCAAATCCCATTAGCAGGCCTAAGTATAACATCAAATTTGTAAATCTGTACCAACCTTTCAATTTCCGATTACCGGAAGTGGAATTTACTCTACTTTTGGTTTTTCAAATGCCTATAACTTGAGTACTGTTTCTGATAGAGGAAATTTCATATATAAGTAAAAGGTCTAATTTTCTTTTTTTTCTGTAAAATTTTGAGTGATTTCCGGTGACCAGAATTAGTACTTTATTTCCAATTTCTCGAAAAACGCATATGAATTTATGAAGTACTAGCCTTCCCGGCCAGGCCCTGAGTGGCCTCTGTGAAAAACCTATTTGTAAAGGACCATGACTTGTGTGTTTAGTAATCAGCATATACCCGGCATTGCCCGGGTTTAGGAAACATTTTACTTTTCGAATTAACCCTAACCACAACCAACCAAAAGCAAAAACACAAAAGAAATGCAAACATAACACAAACGCAAACCCAAACCCAGACACAAAGAAAACACAAACGCAAACAAAAAAGCAAAACAAACGCAATTACAAATAGAAATACAAACTCAAACAATAACTAAAAAAATGCAAATAAACGCCAACATAAACACAAACTTAAATGCAAACATAACGCAAAGTACTCACAGTTTAGCCCGGGGCGCCGAATAGCACCATGCCGGGGCACCGGCGGAACCCGCTGATTCATCTTAGTAAGAGACTATAGTACCCCAACTTATTCATAGTCTTTTGCACTAACTTAAACGAACAAAGGCGCCATAGAGAACACGGGAAGGCCCGGGGCGCCAAATAGCACCCAGTTGGGGCGCCGGAGGACACCCAGATTCGATTCAGTTAAAGACTATAGAAACATTTCTTATCCATAGTCTATCGCACTGTTTAACTCAAAATTATGCACCATATCGCTCACAGGATAGCCCATGGCGCCAAATCGAACCCTGCCGGGGCGCCGATTGACGCGCCTGATTCCATTGAGTGAACGACTATAATACCCCTAGCTTATCCGCAAACGGAAAGATAGAAGTAAAAATAGAGGGCATTTAGGCTTCTAGGCTTTAGGCTGTTATTGATTACAAATAATATTTAGTAAACAGTACGTTCAGTGTATAAAATAAATAAAAGGCAGTATTTATTCCGCACCATTATACTTTTAAATTGGCGCGCAATTCTTTTTTTTTTCTACGAGATTCTGTTTTGTTTTAAAAGTTTAAATATTAAAAAATCAATTAAAAAAAATTCATAAAAAAAAAAACGTTTTAATAACAAGCTTGTATGTAATAATGCACTAAAATGAAGAAAATAAATGATTTCCTTTAAATATATAACTATACGCTACTATTTAAATAACTATACACACTGTCGAAAGACAGAGAAAGCAAGTTAAATAAAAGCTTGTAAAAAGCATGTCTATATCTAGAGTTGCCAAACCCCGTAGTGTAATATAAGAATATTCGAGAAAGTTTAGGGGAGAACACTTCCGCTGTATTTCTAAAGCTTTCTAACTAGCAAACAGTAACAATTTTATTTCATTTTTGCTGTAAAGGGAGACACCTCGATTTTTTTTGTCTACAAAATCCGCAAAGTATGGTTACATCTCTCTAATGGATGGGAAGCAACTCAATTAATGTTTATAAATCGAAGTCAAGGGGGTAACGACTCAAAAATGTGATGTTTTAATGTGTGTGTGTGTGTGTGTGCGCGTGTGTGTGCGTGTGTGTGCGTGTGTGTGTGTGTGTGTGTGTGTGTGTGTGTGTAGAGGGTGAACGGGGTATCTGACATTTTGTGACGGGTTGTGACGATAGGGGTGGAAGGGAGTCGGCGAAATTAAGTGACGTCAAATGGACGATTCCAAAACCTAACTAAACATTCATTAACGACCAGATCACAATTTAATCATCATCCATTATCCACTCAATATACACCAAACAATAGAAAACGACGAAATCAAATTAATAAAAAATTAAGTATAAACGGAAGAAAAAATGTGAAACTTATTAAAAAAAAAGTTATGTCTATAGGATGTTGAAACATTAGTGCATTGATAAAAACAAAAACAAAAAAAAAACTTCAAAAGTATTATGTTACTTATAATTTTTAAAATTTATTTAATGAACATATTTCTGAAAATGTACAACCATTACTATTAAGGTGTTATTATTGTTTCAGTTGTTTACACTGACCGCATACACATTTGTGGAAGTGATGGTCAACCTCCCCTACAGTTTATACATTTTACCTATGCTGTGGGAGTAGTCCTCACACTATTGATCACTGAGCCCTTCCTAACAGAGATAGAAACAGGGAACAGCCAGTGTTTCCTCCAGACATTTTTCTCCGTGGGTGCACTTGAAATTTTCGGGGGGGGGGGGGGTGCGGACAACAATTTCCGGGGAAGGGGGGCGGACACTGCCAAAAGTATATATTTCCTATATAAATTCCATTTCGTTCGGGGGGGGGGGGGCGGTAGACATGTACATTCACCCAACATTACTTGAGCTGTTGTTGGCCAGCAGAACGTGACATACACATTTTTTATTTTACATTACCCGGTCAGAGTTTCTTCCAGGCATCTCTTCGGGGGGGGGGGGGGCTTTGACCCCCCCCCCCCGAACGAAATGAAATTTATATAATTGATATAGAAAATATATACTTTTAACAGTGTCCGCCCCCCCCCCCCCCGAAAATTTCAAGTGCACCCCCGGAGAAAAAAGTCTGGAAGAAACACTGTACCCAGTCTATTTTTCAACATCAGAGAACTATGAGAGCGAAGGAAATAAACAACCACTGGAGATGAAATCCATAAAAAAAGATAAGATAGAAAAAAGACACATGTGACAATCTTGTTGATTACCATTGTTATTAGAACACAAAGCCCAAAATTCTCAAGCGACATTGTTTGGCGAATGTAACAAGAAAGGTGAATTAGCTCATGGAGAAACGAGTACAATAAAGATTATTTACCACCAGGATGGGAGGGGGCAGAATTTAGCTCAGTATCGAGCTGCTAGTGAGATTTTGTCATAGTCTAAACTGTAGTGGCAGGACAAGCCAGTTTCTACAGCTATTGCCAAGACATTCTTCTATTTAACTTCTTTCCACTTCCGGGTCACTCTGCGAATGTTCATTAGCTGAGATAAATGATAATTAACTATTGAAGGTATATGTTTGTGCTTGAGTGTGTGAAGTTATATCTAGACGTTTTTGGTCTAGGTGGGGAAAACACGACAATGTTGATGAACCTAAGACACTTGACGGTTTCTAACCCAGCGTTGATCGAGACTAGGCCAGTGAGTTCAGTAATCCTTTTAACGTCCAGTAGTGCTGCATTTAAAATACATCGTAATTCTTCCGGAGTCTTTGGTCAGCCGTAATTATCACATTTATTTTATTTGGTGGGATGTCTGTGGTGCAATAGGCAGACAGTTTTAATTATATTTGTCGTTTAGTTTTACTTTAACATGTTAATATTTGGAAAACTGAATTAGATCTCTATGTGGTGGTGTAGCAGATAGACTATTTTCAGACGGAAAAGCCGGTCGTCTAGTTTAATATAATAACCGCAAGATGCACAAAGCGTTACTTCTTAATACGCACTGAGTAATGATAATTTAGTAATTCTAAATTAGTTATCTACAAGTGTTAGTATACACATATCTCTACTGCAAGTGTGAAGGTACACCATGTAATCAGCTGAAAGATAAAAGTGATTTGATAACACAATGGAAGAAATATTAAATACGGAGCTCTCTGATATTCAGTTAAAAAGACCCAGTATTGTGGCACGGCTAAAGAGCGATAAAACCTACAGATGGAGGGTTATGCAATCTTGTCTGCTTTCCTTGACAAGTTTCACTTTGGTAAGTTTATCTAAGTATTTTTTAAAGTTAAATTATTTGAATTTCTTGTCAGGGATTATTATTTTTTTTTTCGTCAGTTTCAAATTTTTTTTAATGACTATAATTAGAGAAGGTTTATTTTATAAAAGAAAACCTAAAATAAATTAGCATTTAGAGTTGTTAAACTTCAAAACAAAAGCCTCGAAACGTCCCATTAATCATGATTGTTTTCTCGGTGTTTCAGGGTATTATAATTGGTCAACAGGGGCCAACATTTTTGGACCTGCAGATTATCACAGGGACTGATGTGGAAATGGCCTCTTATTTCTTCACCTCGTCTGCATTTGGTTACATGGTTGGATCTTTCATCAGTGGCTTTTTCCATGGAAAGGTATTTGCTCGCCCCATACGTCGTCTTACCTCCCTTGATTAATATTTGTGAGAAATATGAGTATAAAGCGGATTTGCTAACGATTTTTTAAAGTCATGTTATAATTTTTTTTGTGTGCGCCATATCTTTAAGGTAAAAATGTAATTAGTGTTCTTGCTTATCTAAAATATTATTTTAACCCCCCCCCCCCCACCCACCGTACATTATAGACCCTTTTAAAAATTTATTTATTCCAGTTCCCCTATACTCCGTACATGAAGAAGTACTGAGGTATCACACAGTAAAAACTGTCAAAATTCCATGTGATTTTTGTGCAAGATTACAATACTTCCTCAATACTCTGTATACAAGAAAGTAATAAACCGGGAGTGATCTCCCCTTCACTTTCTCGAATATTCTTATATAACTTGGAATATAGGCATGATTTTTAATTACTTAAACTTTTAAAAATAGAATCTCACAGAAAAAAGAATTGCGCATCAAGCGAACCTCAAAACAAAAGGTGCATAATAGTGCGCAATATTATTAGTACTTTATAAATTTACATGCGTTTTTTGAGAAATCGGAAATAGCGCAAATTAGTACTTCCGTTTAACGGAAATTACTCAAAATTTGACACAAGGTAGAGAATTAGATCTTTTACTTACGTGTGAAATTTCATTTATCTATCTGAAATAGTACTCAAGTTATAGGCTTTTGAAAAATTCAAAGTAAAAAAGGACCACTTCCGGTTATCGGAAATCGCTCAAAAGTTGATCAGACCTACGATTTTGATAAAATATTTATATATGAAATTCCATCAACCTAGCTGTAAGTTAGAGTATTTAAAATGGATTAAAAGTGATGTCTATATCCCGAGTTGCCATTCCCTGTTGTTTCATATAAGAATATTCGAGAAAGTTTAGGGGAGATCCCTCCCGGTTTATTAAAGTGAGCACCTCACCTCACTTTACCTCACCTCAACTCACCTTATCTTTAATGACCTAGTAGGCTTCTTACCTAAATGTTCCAATTTTTTTTTTTTTTTTTTGGAATTAGAATGAGCTTTTTTGTGATAAAAACATGTTCAGGTCTCCTTATAATCAGATAAAAAACAATGAGATTTTTTTCGTGGTTAAAACTTTTTAGATCTTCTTATCATCAGGTAAAAAGCAATCTGACCATGGCCAGTGCCAGCGCAGGTGCCGGCATATTGTCTATCATCACGCCGTACTGTTCACCTTTTGTCCTGATGCTAATGATAAGGTTGTTTACCAACACGTGTCTGGGAGCTATAGATTCACGTAAGTAACCTTTTAAGGTCACATTTTACAGCTTCAGATAGCATTCGGATTTAGAATTTGTAATTTAAATATTTGTTTTCATAAAAAAACGTTTCAATAACAAGCTTTTATGTAATATTGCACTAAAAAGGAGAAAATAAATTATAGACTACTATTTAAATAATTATAAAGAAAAGCGTAAGCCACTTTAGTATCTATTGGATACCTTTACTAATATTTAGGAAGAGACACACGCTTTTCTTTATAGTTATTTAAATAGTGGGGGGGGGGGGGGTTCTCATTTTTTTATGAAGATGTGTAACAATTTAGAAATGGAGATGCCCAATTCGGGAAAAAACAGTAACAATTGAAAATAGAATCAACGTTGTAACATTTTGTATTTTTCGAAAACGTGATTGTGTGGTACATGAGGGAGATTGATGGGTCTTGGGCTAACGAACTGTATTAGCAAAAATAATCAAGCTTGTAATGTAAATTTTATATGGGAGAACAGCTAAGCTGGTTAAGATATGTAGCTACTATTTATATGTTACGAAACCAAATGAGTTAAAAGTAGGCACAAAGAACCGTAAGATAATTTATGTAAATAATAACCCCGATACATAAAAAACAACATTATTTATGGATTACTATTTCAGTTGTGAATGCTGAGCAGATACGTATTTGGGGAAGTGAAGCTCAGCCTCTACTGCAAGCTACACTTTTTACAATATCTCTCGGAGGCGTAGTGGCAACGTTGTTTACAGAGCCCTTCCTAGCAGAGAAAGAAACAGGGAACAGTACCAATAGAACAGATGGTGAACTTACAATTTTTATGAACTCAACAAGTCAGTGGAAGCAAGAAAATACATCCAACATGACATGGTTAGCTACCAATGGTACCATGTTGGTAAAAGCAAGAACTACAAATGTTCATTATGCATTTCTTATAGCTGGCATAATTGCTATACTAACTTCTTTTCCTTTTATATATCTAAGCATTGTAGAAAAATCCACAGAAAACAAATCTGAAGAGAAATACACTCAAAGGGGTCAAATTAGAAAGCTACCTAAACATTTGAATATCTTTGTTATTCTTATGACATGTTTCTTCTTTCTAGTCTATTGCTGTATCGAAGTTTCATTCCCAACATTCCTTATGACTTTTGTTGTTTCTGAATATGTTGAAGTCTCCAAGTCGAAAGGGACTTATATAACAACTTTCTTCTGGGCTTCATTGGCAGTAGGCAGATTTGTCAGCTTTTTTATGTCCAAATATATCACAGCTGTTAAATTAGTTGGTTTATCTTCATTTTTCTTAATGATAGCGTTTTTAGGTTTCACAATAAGTGCGTTTTTTGCACAAATTGACGCGATCACAGTTTTTTCTGGCATGGCTGGTGTTTCCATGTCTGCTGTTTTTGCTGCTGGGTTTTCATGGGCAGAATCTGAACTGCTTAAAGTTACTGGTTGGGTTTCGTCTTTCATTCTTATAGCAGATTCTATGGGCTTGATGATCAATCCACTCATTATTGGCTACCTCATGGAAGAAGTTTCCAACATGTGGTTCTGTTATGTTTTGTTGAGCCAAACTTTGTTGCTGTGTTGTATTTTCCTATTTCTCCTGTTATTTAACAGATTTTATCTTAACAAAGTTTATGGAAAAGTTGGAGATAGCAGAAATTTAGAGACAATCGTGGAAACAATACTACATGACACAGATACATTTTTAGAAACTGATATGAAAACGTAGCATTTTGAAAATATCAGTTTAACGGTCTACAAATTGAGAAACGTGTAAGAGAACCAGGGGTTCTCCAGATATTTCTCTACCGCATCACTGCCTGAAAGAACCTCCGAAGAGCGTGTAAATCAGCAAGTATTTTTTAACTTGCATAATTTATACTTGTTTTTTAATAAGGAAAACGTACACTTAAGGCAGAACAAAATTAATATAAGCTATGAACTCTTTGTTGCAATACTTTTTAATATTTTTTATAACACATTTTTGGAAATTATTTACTTTAATAAATTACATGAAACACATTTTCGTTTCTGAAGTTGATAAATATATATTGAAGAATGATATACTCTAATTCCATGACGACAATTTTAGAACCCTTCCAAAAATGATGCAATTCATGCAGGGTTTACTGTAATACTATAATTTTAGCGTGGTGAGACCACAGGTGAACTTACTGCAATTTTACAGTTCTTGATGTAGCCACTGCGTGTCTTTATAGCTGCAGTTCATGTGGTATTTTATCCCCATTGTATTAAATAACTAGTAATGTTAAAAACAGAGACAAGATCTTATTGTAATACTGCAGGTTGTGATTTGACCTCAGTTAAGTTAACTGTAATACTGCATGTTGTGATTTGACCTCAGCTAACTTTACAGTAATAATGCAGGTTGTGATTTGACCTCAGTTAACTTTACTGTAATACTGCATGTTGTGATGTAATCGTTGTTGATCTCAATGTAATCCTACTGATGTGACCCCAGTAAATCATCCCATGGTACTCAACTGCATTCAGTGTCGAATCCAGACTATACATTTTTGGGGGAGGGGTGATATTATATTTATAAAGATCTCTGGGTTGTGTCTTAATTTCGGTAAACAGGTAAACATTATAACAGTTTGTAAAGAAGCAAAACACTCAGTGAATTGGAGAAGACAAATACTTGGTTAAGCTCAGTCACAGCTCCAATCCAGACGAAAAATTGTTTCCCCTACTCGACTCAGTGTTCCACAGACAATTTTTGACTGCACTTTCTCTATAGGCCATGGATACATTAACCAGGTAATTATTGTTGACTCATCACAGATTCATTTATTAATTTTTTTTTATTTATAACTATATTGAAATTTTGTTATAGATCTAGTCAAAAGCCTGTTTCGCTAGACAGAAATAATCATCTGGGTGCACCCACCATTTCATTCCCCTTTGCTGTGAATCGATCACGTAGAGCGGCTATTTCCTAATTAGAGAAACTAGACTTCTGCTTAAGTATAAATTAATCAGTTATTATAACTCTATTTAGATAGCTCTGATCTTAATTAATGAAGATAGCTCCAATGATACGATTCCAGTAACAGGGAAAATAAATCGTAGTAAACACGAGCAGAGTTTCTTCCAGGCATCTCGCCCCCCGAACGAAATGAAATTTATATAATTTATATAGAAAATATATACTTTTAACAGTGTCCGTCCCCCCGAAGAAAGTCTACCGCCCCCCCCCCCCGAAAATTTCAAGTCCCCCCCCCCTCCCGGAGAAAAAAGTCTGGAAGAAACACTGAACACGAGAGGTAATGCAAAAAGTGTATTATATTGTGAGTCAGTGTTATCGAATTTCAAGATTTGTTACTATTTATATGTGTAACTGTTAATTGTATGCTATTAAATTTTAATATGGCAGCTAAATGGAAATAATTTGTTAGGGGTATCGCAATTTGAGAAAATTAACCTCATGCTCGATGGAGATATTGCAATAAAAAATAAATAAAATGGTCGTAATCCACTGATCTAAGCACAATCTCAACATTACGCGAGCCGCCACTGATTGAAGCACCAGTTTGGCACAAAAAAAAGATTTATAATACTAAATCAGAAGCGCGGGAAAGTTACATATTGGTTATCTTTGCAGAAAAAGCAACTAAATGATTTAATTTAAAAAATGGCAGAAAAATGTTACCCTCCACATAGCCACCCAACACAACCTGCTCCGAATAGTGTGTCTCGTCTACAGAACGACAAAGCCTACAGATGGCGGGTTATACAATCTTGCCTGTTTGCATTATCCAGTTTTTCTATGGCAGGTTTTTGTATGTATACATAAATTTTAAATCCTTCAGTGTCGTCCTTTAAAGTTAATTGCTGTTGAAATTAAAAGTTTGAAAGAATGAGTGAAATAATATTAACCACGTTATCAATACACGATTGGGGATTCATTCTTCTCCTGTGATTATGGTTTTGGACTCATCCTTTGTTAAAAAAAAAATGCTGGCGTGATCATGGATATTAAACGTTGGGAAGATCTCGCCATTCCATCATAAAAGTCGCAGCTTTATTAAAAGCTCACGTTGATGGGAGCAACGGAATTTTTTTTCTTCAAATCAAGGTATATTCTGGTAATGCCAACATATATTGTTTTTCAAATGTGAAAATTAAAAGATACATTGAGATAACAACTAGCTACGTACTTGCAGTTTAGCCCGTTTGACATTTTGTAAAAAAAAAAAAAAAAGCAGCAACAAAAAAAAAACAAAAAAACAACAACAGCATTTGAAACACAATTGCAACTAAAAATGGGAAACTTACCTGAGGATGTGTACATTTACTATTGAAATATTTAAAATTAAAAGGGCTTCTTTAATAAACAATTATATGTAACCAAAAATGTTTGAATAGTGTTGATCCTGTAAATTACAATGTTAATAGCTAAAACCTTTACGAGTAATCTTTTTATCTGCTTTCTCAGGAAGTTCTTATAGGTCAACAAGGACCAACTTTTTTAGACCTGCAGATTATCACAGGGACTGATGTTGAGACAGCCTCATATTTCTTTAAAGCTGCATCGTTTGGTCACATGGTTGGATCTCTCATCATCGGCTTCGTGCACGGGAAGGTAGTTTACAAGAAATACTAAGCGGCTCTTCAAAGCGTCCCGGGCTTTTAGCACGATGGCGCCTACGTTCGTTTAAAAAAAGGCTAAATACTAAAGACATGGTGGGCAACAATAATCGTTGACTATATCGAATCAGGCTGTCTTCTTACGCCCCGTCAGGGGGTCAAACCCCGGGCTCACTCGTATAATACGCTTCGGAAACCGCCCAGGTGCCAGGGTTGTAGAGTGGAGCTGTCGGTAGCATCCGAGCCTGGGCAACACGCGACGCCCCTGCGGTAGTGTAACCGGGGGCTCCCGACAGCTCCACTCTACAACCCTGGCACCCGAGTCAGAGCTGCTTAAAGTTACTAGTTTGTTGACCACTATCGTCCTTATTGTCAACTCATCTGCACGATGCTCAACCCACTTATCATAGGTTATCTCACGGAAGAAGTTTCCAACATGTGGTTCTGTTATGTTTTGTTAAGTCAAACTTTGTTGCTGTCTGGTATTTTCATGTTCCTGTTGTTATTTACTAGGTGTTACCTCAACAAACGTTACGGAAAAATTAAAGATTGTAAAAGCTCAGAGCTGATTTTGAAAACACCGCTTCAAAAAATTGAAAATGTTTTAGAAAGTGAAATGAAAATATGAATCTTGTAAATTAAAAAACTGAGGAATCTGCATGCATAGGAAGTAAAATCTTCCTTCATCTCTTGTATAACCGAAAACATAATTTTAAAATTCTGTTAAAACCTACCGCAATTAAAAAAGAATCTGCTTAAGTAATTCATCATAAAAGAAATGTTTTCCCCTTTAATAATCCAACCACACAGGATGTGTGTACACGATAATTAAAACCTAAATAATATAAAGAGTCGAGGGAATAAAAGAAATTGAACAGTATTAAAAAATTATTCTCGTAACTTCTGAATATTAGCGCTTACTTACTTCTAATGTTTGTAGTTAAATAGTATGCTAGGTCTGCTTGTTTGATAAATTAATGTCGATCTTCAATCTTTAGTATGTTCTTTCATTCATTTGTGGACATATTATAACTATAATTTTCAACTCATCTAGACTACTTCAACAGAACACGATTGAAATACATTCAGCTGTGGCATATAGTAAGGGAATACAAGGGGCCCTTTTTTTCGAGACAAATCCAGGCTGTATGTCTAGTAATTAATGAAGTAGTAAAACACCAAATTTATAGGTACTTTGCTGTGTGATAAAAAATTGTAGTTTTATTATTGGTCTGCAGTCGTAAAAATGTTTATAATAAAATAATTTGTATTGGTGAACAATGAATTCAATACATTTTTATGTCTTGGGAATAAAATAAATAATGTTCAAATAATATTATTATGTATTTTATTTCGAGTCGTGTTTGTTGATATAGGTGAGTAATATTTAAATTGAAGTTTAAAACACAAATAATTCAGTGAGACCATGGCCAGACAGCAACACATTGATAAAGAGGTTTTGTTATAGGTAAGATACAAGCCACACATGGGCGATGCTTTAACACTGTATCTTCACAAAATAAGTACTCAAATGACGTATGTCATGTGGTGTCAGAAATGTATACAAAAATCTTTTTGTTTATTTGAACATTCCATTACGGTATTTTTTTGTTGTTGATATTTTTGAATGTTTGTACGGATCCTCAAAACATGTTTCTCTGATTTTAGCGAACCTCCAATATCAGAAAAACGTCAGAGCCGCCTTGTTGCGATACAGTGGTAAACTTGCTTGTTTCGTCAGACGATTTATTAAAAAACTCGAAACGTTAAGTCAATGACCTTTAAACACGAAGTTTTGTAATTTTAGCAGCTCTCTAAAATAAGGTTATCTTCAAAAATAAAAATAATAATTAAAAAAAAAACAGCATCAAATAATGAAATAAAATTTGCAGGACATGAAGGAAAAGGGCTGATTACATTCGTTTCTTATAAGTATTTATTATATTGATAGCCTATACAGGTGTTACGGTAAATACTTTATTTGCAGGGGATCTTTATTTCCTGACATGTTCGATAATTCCTCGAATTACTGGTTACCCATAAGAGCACGTATCCAACATATGCATCTTTGTTTCTATGCACTATTATCATTTTCTTACAGTAATATAACACATATTAACTTTTGAGACACACAAGTTTAAAAATTCAAATTTTCTATAAAACGTAGCGTTTTATTTTATTTGCTTATTTGAAGGACACGATTATAGAAATACTTCAGCATTAATATTTGGACAAGATTAAGTCAACCTAGAAGAGGGACGAGCATTTCTTTGTTTAATTGATGTCAACAAAATATTTAACTCAAGTACTTTTAGCACTTGTCTTTTCCGCTGCACCATTAAAAGTGTTCCGAGTTACCTTTTAGAACTCTTCAACACATGGCGACAACACCAGCTGATGTTGTTGTAATACTGCAGGTTGTGATTCGATCTCAGCTAAGTTTACTGTAGTACTACAGGTTATGATGTGGTTCTTGATAAACTTAATCGTAGTAATGTGACACCAGTAAATCATCCTATGGTACTCAACTGCATTCAGTGTCCAGACTATAAATCGTTGGGGAGTGACTGTATTTTTATATTGTAACTGGGTAGGGTCTTTTAATGTAAAACTCAAACAGTTATTTATTCAATAAACACACAGAGAATCGAGTTATTTTAGCGCAACATGAGATACAAGTTAGAATTCAAAAGACAAACGTAAATAATACATACAAAACATACACTATTTAAAAAAAAAACTTCATTACAAAGTGAGTGTGTTAAAGCTGTCGCTAAACCCTCTCCACAAATAGCACGTCTCCCTCGTTGTAAACGTGTGATATAACATCTTTCTGTTGATTTGAATCTACTACAACAGTACATTTCATAATATTCAGCATTTTCTGTAATTCAATACATTAAACTACGTATCTATTAAGTGTAAATAATGTATGAAGTAAAGAATAATGATATACTATAATGATAGACTATTAAATGTATTACGTTCTAGAAGCTCACGTGAGTGTCGTGACCCAGGCAGATGTTACCGTAGCAATGCAGTTTTTTATTTGACCACAGCCGACCGTATTTTGAGACTGCAGTTTGTAAAATGGCATAAAATGTCATTCTTATGCGACCACAGTAAATCGTCCACTTGTACTGAGTTGCTTTCAGTGTCTGACCCAGACGTGTGTGTGTGTGGGGGGTGGGGGTGGGAGGTGGGGGGAAGGGGTGACATTCTGTTGTCACTAGAACTGCTGGGTAAGGTCTTTTGTTGTTATATTTTAAACAGATTTGGTATAAGTAAAACACACAGAGAATAGGAGCTCACACGTTTTTGAATGAGTCCCTGAGAAAAATATTTTTTAAAAAAAAAAACATCTCTTCAGATCAACTCAATGTTCCGGGCTAATATTTTAAATATATATTAAGTAAGAATAACATGGTTTATAAGTAAATCTTAGTTAAAGCGTTGGCTGTTATTGATTAGTCCATACATATTTCTCAGCATTTATTTGTTTTTAAATATTTAAAATCCATAGCTTTCTTCTTCATTTTTTATGTAAAGTTATAATTAACAACACATTTCACTAGGCAAATTTGACCTCAGTTGTTTATTTTAAGTTTAATGTTAATTAAATAAAATGTGCCTGCGTAATTGCAACAATGTTTAAATAACGTAGGCTACAATTATGTAATGTAGGCCCTAAATAGTAGCGACATACGAATGAAAAACTCCATAAAACGTAGTCATTGAAATATAAAAAGATGGTTAAATAGACCTAGTCTATAGATGAATATATTAACCTAGTAAAATAGATATCGTTATACGTGGTTACAAAATTAATCGCCAGGATATATATTATGGAGATATTATTCTTAAATCGCCAATATATGACATTATGGATAAATGCTTATAATTTAAGAAAGAAGAATCTTTCAATGAATTTTTTTTTTTTAATTGTCTGACTCAACTAAAGCAAAAAAATGACCAGCCCCACAATTCCAAGCTCCGGTCAACAACCTTTGCACCGCCACTGATAACAGAGCTAAAGTTTTGTCTTTGCATAAAAGCATAACATAATCTTAAAAGTGAAGCAGGCGCGCATTTCGGCAAATGTGTAAAGAATTACAGATTGCAATTTTTGCAGAAAGATAAAAGTGGTTTCAAAAATGGAAGAGAAATGTAACCCTCCAAATAGCCATCCAACACAACCTGCCCAAAGTATTGTGTCTACAGAACGACAAAGCCTACAGATGGCGGGTTATACAATCTTGCCTGTTTGCGTTATCAAGTTTTTCTTTGGTAGGTTTTTGTGTGTAGAAAATAATTTTGTATTTTTTCTTTATAGTAATTTAAATAGTAATGTATAATTTATTTTCTACTTTTAAGTGCCTTATTACATAAAAGCTTTTTATAAAAACTTTTTATATGAAATTTTTTTAGTACTTTACATGTTTTTATTTACAATAGAGTTACATGACTAAAACACCTTGCGCGCCTATTTTAGGAGTCCCTAAAAGTCTGGGGCCTAGGGATGCTGTCTTATCAGCCCTCCCTCCTTTACCCACCAAAGATGCACATTGTTGACTCCACGCTAAGGACATGAAAATACAATAGACTAGCGGGCAAATAAAAATTGTAGGTAATCTTGAAAAATAAAACTAATAATGTTTAAAATGTTTTTTTCTTAGAACAATTTTGAAAAAAAAATGAAAATAAGAGTGGCATATCCATTAAACAGATAAACAGCAATGTGCTGACGGCCATAGCTCTTATAGTGGCAGGAGTCTTGACTACCATCACACCATACTGCCAATCATTTGTTCTCATGCTTATGATCAAGTTTTTTGTTCGAGTCTTCGCTGGAAGTCTGGCAATCAGTAAGTAGCACTTTAACGACAGGTTCAATTGCAAATAGTTTTTTTGTAACGACATTGTAGTTGCTTGAATAAAAAAAAAAGATAGATCAATAAAAACAATTTTTTTCTAATATTTAAATATCCTTTCCCAGTTGTGAATGCCGAACATATGCATATTTGGGGCAGTGATAATCAATCTCTTTTACAAGCCATACATTTCACATATGCACTTGGAGCGGTCTTCGCGCCTCTGTTCACAGAGCCATTCCTAGTAAAGAAGGAGAGTAGTACCAGTATCAAATATAGAGACCCAGTCTCTTCTGGAAACTCATCAAGTCAGTGGAAGCAAGAAAGTGCATCAAACATGACATGGTTAGCTACCAATGGTACCATGTCTGAAAAAGAAAGAACTACAGATGTTCATTATGCATTTCTTATAGCTGGCATCATTGCTATTCTAACTTCTTTTCCTTTTATAGTTCTGAGATGTGTAGAACAGTCAAAAGAAAACAAATCTGTTGAGAGATTCACTCAAAAAAGTCATAGTAGAAAACTTCCTAGACATTTAAATATATTCGTTGTTACTGTGATATGTTTATTCTGCTTAGTATATTGCTGTGTAGACGATTCGTTTCCTTCTTTTCTAATGACGTTTCTGGTCAGTGAATATGACGTTAACAAGTCTAAAGCTGCCTATATAACTACAATTTACTGGGCTTCGTATGCTTCTGCTAGATTTCTTACTATTTTCATCTCCAAATATTTCATTGCTGTAAAAGTAATTAGTGTACACACAATCCTAATGATTCTAGTTTTTTCAGGGTTTACAGTAAGTGCTTTATATTCACAAATTGATGCAATCACAGTCTTTGCTGGCATGGCTGGTATTTCAATGTCGGCTGTTTTCCCTTCAGCTCTATCTTGGGCAGAATCAGAACTGCTAAAAGTGACTGGTTGGATTACATCTTTTATTCTGATTGCTAGTTCTATCGGCACGATGATCAACCCACTTATCATTGGTTATCTCATGGAAGAAGTTTCCAACATGTGGTTCTGTTATGTTTTGTTAAGTCAAACTTTGTTGCTGTGTTGTATTTTCCTATTTCTCCTGTTGTTTAACAGATGTTATCTCAACAAAGTTTATGGAAAAGTTGGAGATAGTAAAAATGTAGAGATAGTTATGGAGGCACCGCTTCAAGAAACTGACAAGTTCCTTGACATACGTGAAAAAGAATTTTCACCCAAAATATGAACTAAACAACATCTAATTTCGTTGTGGGATTAATTTTTAATTTTGTAATGGTTGCTATCGTAAATTTATTCATCTGGAACAGAGGGATGAACAAATTTAATATTAAACCAATCATTAGAGAAATTAAACGTAACATTGACAATGGTTCAATCATTACGTATGTGATAAAATGTGTGTTATTTTACCGAACGCTATAATACCATAAAAAGAAAAATACCAGCAAAGTATCTGTCAAGCTTTAAAAAAGAAAAACTCCTTTAAACATGTACAATATTAGAGTCGATAAACTATTTTAAATTAAATTTTTCATGTCACATTCTGTAAAAATAATCTGTAATTTTATATTTTTTACGGTACGTTTATAAAAAGCTATAATTTAAAAAAGACGCGCTTTTCTTTTATTTTTCCATTCATACATATTTTATCCAGCATAAGGGATTGAATGTAATTTTTGTTTAAACTTTTAAAATTAAAATTATTATTAATTTAGATACGTTAAATATTTATTGCTTTTTATTTTGTATTACTTTAAACTGTAATCCAACATTGTCCTTTTCCTTCCTTGAAATTTTACATTTAGCATGCAAAGACACCATAGCAAGCATTCTGGTTCTCCATTTCTTTTTAAAATGAACTTAATCTGGATGTGAACGTATACAAGCTGTCTAAAGCACAAACAGGTCAACTCCTCCACTTTCTGCACCAAAAGTCTGTAACATAATGTTTAGGATAAGAAACTTATTTTAACTCCCTCGTAAATGATAATTGTGCATCTTTCAAAGAATTTTATTTATTTTATTTTGCTTTAGTAGGCCTATTCAGCATTTCATAGCAATTGACTTTCCTGCAGGTTACATTTGTAAGATATGTTCTCAGTTAATGTAAGATTATATTTTCTCAATGCAAATGCTGCTAACCTTGGAATTAACCATGGTAAATCCAGTTGTAAGAAATTTACCATTATGAATCGTTGGTTTGACAGTACTTTTGCCTAGAATATCATGTAAGGCTTGATTCTCGAACTTGGTTACTATTTCTTTTGAAACTTCTTCATAATACTACATTAAATTCAAAATAGATTATTCGTTTAAGTCTTTATTATGTGATTTATTATGCACATTTTATTATTTGTTTTAAAACAGCATTATAATTTAAGTCGTGTTGATATAAACGAATGATATAAATAATATAAAAAGTAAACTTTATACTCAAATAGTAAATATGATCATTTTACACATCTTTTTTTGATTACACACACACATACACACACACACACACACACACACACACACACACACACACACACACACACACACACACACACACACATATATATAGTGTCTATTTCTTATGGTAAATAATATTTAGGCTGTTAATCTCATTCATTAATTATACTTTAAGGCAGGGGTCTACAAACTTTTCAGTCCGAGGGCCGCATTAACTATGAAATATCAGTTCGGGGGCCAGAGTTTCTTTAAGGCATCTCTTCGGCGAGGGGGGGCCCCCTCCACTCCCAAGGAACGTCTACCGCCCCCCCCCCCCCCACGAAATATAATTTATATAGAAATATTTGCAAATTTCAAGTCTCACTTCTTCTGCCTTCTAAGCCAAGTCAGAGAACCTACTGAAACTGCAGCTGGAAGTCTTTGATGATCATATGTAAATGACGTGGGAAATTCATTGGTTGCTTCAGCCGTAAAGAACTTGCACTGCTGAAAGTGCATCAAGTTGTTGGCCTGTACTTGTTCCAGATACATGACAAGTTTGAATCTGAAGGCCTTTAGGTGGATGTATAGATAAGATACTAGATTTCCCTCTCTTGCCGTTTTAGGTTCAGAAAAAAATTTAAATGACTAATTATGTCTGCAGCAGAGGCCAATTTCTATACCCACTCTAATGAACACAAAAAAATGAGGTGGAACAACTGTCCAGCGACTCATCCATTGCAATTGAAAAATGGCGAAGCTTGCTTGCATATTTCGCTATTTGAGTCACGATGTTTTTACCAATGTCTGCAACACGGCGGGCAATGGTATTTGCACAAAAAGCTACATTTTCAAATTGTTTTGAATTTTCTGTGCAAAGTTCCTCAGTCACCTTTTACAACATTTATTCAGAGGACAAAAAGATCGCTGCGGGCCGGATGAAATGACCTCGTGGGCCGCATCCGGCCCTCGGGCCGTAGTTTGGAGACCCCTGCTTTAAGGTATTGTTCACAACAAATCCAGGTCATGACAACACGAGTAACTAACTATTGATTGTGTTTAAGTTAAGACACATGCCCCTTAAAAAAAGTTGACCTCATTAAACTTGAAAGACACGTTAAAAAAACAAAACAACGTCGACCTGAATATATATATATATATATATATATATATATATATATATATATATATATATATATATATATATATATATATATATATATATATATATATATATATATATTTTTTTTTTTTTTTTTTTTTTTTTGACGGATGTCTAATCTGATTATTATATTGGTCTTAAAATTGAAAAGAATCAACTTTTTTTCCTTATAAAACCAGAAATACACAAGAGACATAATGTAAGTAATGTATGATACACAAGCGCCACAATCTGTATCTACACGACCTATCGGTTTACGCTTCATGTCTATATACGATATGAGTGCGTTATGTTATATATCCATAGTATGGTTAGTCAATATTGTCTAGTCTAAATATTCGTCCTGAATGATGAATAGAATGTGGTCATTGTTTGTGATAACCATGTTCTCCTTCACTTGACGGTCACGACAAATCAAATGAAAGCAAAAATTTTTTAGGTTAGCTCGTCACCTCTATTGGGCATAGGCTTTTGACATGAGCTGTCAAGGCATCTGTATCCTGGGCTAGTCTCTCCAACTGATCCCAGGTGTATCCAATCTTCTAAGTGCTTGCTACACGGTCAAGTCTTCATATGTTTCTTGCTCGGCCTCTTTTCCCTTTCCTTTGTGGATTCCAGGCGAGGGCTTGCCTTGTATACAGGAATCCCGACTGTGTAGCCGGCCCATCTTCATTGTATCTAGGATCTCTTCATCAGCTTGCAGTTGGTTTGAACTCAACAATGGGTGCTGGGTAATTTCTGTATTCACCTTACCAAGTCAGCACAAACAAAAGTACGATGTGGCCACAGCAGGCTGTAATGTAGCATTTCAGTACAAGCTTGACCCAACTAAACTGTCCCATAGTTCTGCATGGCACTCAGTGGCGGATCCAGACAAAATCTTTTGCTCAGAAATTCAGAGCGTATGTTGAGATCAAACCAGATGAAGCATATAACACACGACACTCTAATTGTTTAGAGGCAAATGGCCTAGAGGTGGCTACTGTCGGCTTTAAAATACAATGTAAGATGTCTATGCTCCAACCAATGACAATTTTAGAAATAAAAAACACTAGTTATAAAAACACCAACAATAGATACCTGACCACCACACACACACAAACTTAGGAGGAACATTTTGAAGTGGAGGGGGAGGGGGTGAGGGGGCAGGTCGATGTTTACATTTACAGTGGCAACAGAGGTTATGTAAAGTTTATAGAACGCCGAGGGATTTATGAAAATGGAGAAAAGCTTGTCGATTTCTGTGCTAACAATGATCTAATATTAGACGTGAGTCTCTTCTGTCACAAACCAGTGAAACTACTTTGTTGCCATGTAGAATGTTTGTCCATTATTGTAGTAAAACAATTAGTACAAGATGTAGGCTCGAAGATAGATAAAGGATGAAGGGGGTGGTAATTTAAGAAATAGGGCAAAAAAATGTAATATGTAAAGCATTTCCCAGAGCCGTTAAAAACGCCAACACCGAGCATTAAGTACCCCACCTGCCTAAGACACTCTGCCGATAAAATACAGACCCTACAAACATACAAAGGAACATCTGAGACGAACAGTATGTGTTGTGATAAAGTATAATGCAGTATAGCAACTGGGAGGTATTTCAGCACAAGAACCGCGTGATATACCAATACAATTGGCTTCCAAAGGATTCGAATATTTCAGTTATCTTTTTGATTATTGTGTGGAAATAGAAACAAATAGACTATCTGAAGAGTAGAAAGACAGAATTCTTGTTCAACATTTTAAGACTGGCGATTCGCCACTGACTATCTATAATATTAATTCACAAAGGCTTGGATCCTTAAGTGTGTAGACTTTACACAGAGTAATCTTAGCAGCAAGATAAAAGTGATTGGGATAAGCAAATGGAAGAAACTCATAGCCCACCAATTAGCCATCCAACACAACCTGCCCAAAGTATTGTGTCTCGTCTACAGAACGACACAGCCTACAGATGGCGGGTTATACAATCTTGCCTGTTTGCATTAACAAGTTTCACAATGGTAGGTTCTTTTTGATTGCATATTTGCCTTACTTTGACCTACTAATTTAAAGATTTCAGGAAAGCCTAAAATGATAATGCCTTGATTGTTCGTATCTGCTTATATTTTATTTAGATCTACGCCTTCTTGACCGACGCATATCTTTCTACAAATGCATTAAAAAGAGCAATGCAAATAAAATATTAAATAATAGAAAAGATTTGTTTATTTATGATTGGTCTATATTGTATCAAATCTTCTCATTAATTCATGTTACCGGCTGGAAAAAATGCCTAATTTTATGTATATAATTTAAAATATTTAAAAGTTAATAATATGTATACATTTATATGGCCATTGAGAAAACTGGTAAAACCTGTATTGAAGTAAATATATTAACAAAACAAGAAAGTTTTTAAAATAGACCCGACACAGTGGTTAAATATTTACCTTTTAAATGCCTTTTCTTATGAAAAAATTGAACACCGGATAAATTATTAACTTTGTGTTGATGACATAATGCTAACTACAAGCAATGAGTGAATAAAGATTTATTCAAACCTTGAACACAGTCTTGAACACCGTGTGTGAGTAAAATGTTTTCCTGTACGATCTCAGGGCATCGTTGTCGCTCAACAAGGACCAACATTTTTGGACCTGCAGATTATCACAGGGACTGATGTGGAGACGGCCTCATATTTCTTTACTGTAGCAGCGTTTGGTCACATGGTTGGATCCTTGATCAGTGGCTTTGTGCACGGCAAGGTAGGGATACAGCACGTTCTACTATTTTATGATAGGTTAAAATAAGTGCCTCCACACTTGAAGACAGTGTAGATTATAATCAGGATTTGTCCGCTGTAATTTTGATCATCAGCCTTAAACCCAGCCGAGTAATGTGCAGTCAATGGCCTAACCCCCCCCCCCCCCCCCAAACAAAAAACAACAACGAACACAAACAAACATTGTAGTGTCAAACAATTGACTCTGTCTCCATACCCGCTACATACCCATACATCCTCCATCTTTGTAAACAATGTTTGATGTCTCTTAGGTATAGTGCACATATTGTAGGTCACAATCATAGGAAAACCACCCCCACACAATATAAAATTTTCATTGGTCGCTTAAGCATCGTTCACATTAAAGAAAGTTGTAACCCCCCCCCCCCCTCTACATGGCATAAACTTATCATTTCTCCACAGATCACTGACTCAACTGTATCCACTTTAAATGTCAATATCGATGAAAAAAAAAGAATATTAATTCTCTCATATTACACTAACGTGAAAAAATGACGTTTTATGTAATCTAAAATCAGTTTTTTAAATTAACTTTGTGAAATGAAATAACCCATGTGTTCTGTCATTAAACAGGTCAACAACAACGTCCTCATGACCTTTCTCCTCATCGGTGTGGGGGTCATGACGCTCACCACGCCATACTGCTCACATTTCGCACTCATGCTTGTCATTATGTTTTTCGCCCGCGTGTTCTCAGGAAGTCTGGCCAATAGTAAGTAGACAGTCAAAGTTCTTGTATGCTCTTAATTCAAGGACATTATGTTTTTATGCAATTAAATAGGGAGCAGATTACCACCTCCGTCTTTTGAACACCGTTTTTAAAAATAAATGATATCAAAATATAGGCTACATACTTTAACTATACTTATAATTGCCTCCCCCTCCCGGGAGGAAATTTGTAAAAAATAATTAAAACACTATACAGAGTCACAATACTCGCCCCATATCCCCTCGTAAGTTTAAACTGCCTAGCCCACCTCCCGCTCCATGTTTAGCTAAACGTCTGAAAAAGCCCCGATAGCAAAAAGAAAGTAACATAAGAAATGGTGTCTGTTTAAAAGAGTATTTTATTGTGTGTTCACGGGAAGAAAGACCATCAAAAAGTTGTATGATACTTTTGGCCATTAGAAAATAGCACGACACTTCTGGCTCAGAGTAGCAAGGATGGCGAGTCAAGAAAACTTAAGCCTTAAAAACATGAGTGAACATATTATCTTACCATTGTTTCAACAATGAAGATTTTAATTGATAAAAGTTAATTAAACCGTTATTAATACCTATATATACAGACACTAATATTTAATATTTATTTATTCTAATGTTTGATATCATTTTCCAGTCGTGAATGCTGAGCATATGCATATATGGGGCAGTGATAATCAACCTCTTCTACAAGCCGTACATTTCACATTTGCACTAGGAGGGGTTCTCACACCATTATTTACAGAGCCCTTCCTAGCAGAGAAAGAAACAGGGAACAGTACCAGTAGAACAGAGGGTGAACCTACAATTTTTATGAACTCAACAAGTCAGTGGAAGCAAGAAAATACATCCAACATAACATGGTTAGCTACCAATGGTACCATGTTGGTAAAAGCAAGAACTACAAATGTGCATTATGCATTTCTTATAGCTGGCATTATTGCTATACTAACTTCTCTTCCATTTATATCTCTAAGTATTGTAGAAACGACGACAGCGCACACTTTTGAAGAGAAATATACTCAAAAAGTTCACAGAAGAAAACTTCCTAGACTTTTATACATCTTTGTTATTTTTCTTTTATGTTTTTTCTTTCAGATCTATGTCTGTGTAGAGCAAACTTTTGCATCATTCCTCATGACTTTTGTTGTTAGTGAATACGATGAAGTTTCTAAGTCAAAAGGTGCCTATATAACAACTTTCTTTTGGGCTTCATTTGCTGTGGGCAGATTTCTTGGCATTTTTGTGTCTAAATATGTTATTGCTGTAAAGTTGATTAGTTTATACATATTTTTAATGGTCGTTGGTTTTTCGGGATTTACAATAAGTGCCTTTGTCGCCCAGATTGATGCCATCACAGTATTTTCTTGTGTTGCTGGTATCTCAATGTCAGCCCTATACCCTGCTGGCCTTACGTGGGCTGAGTCAGAACTGCTTAAAGTGACTGCATGGGTTTCTTCTTTCACCCTTATCGCTAGTGCTATCGGTATGATGATCAACCCACTTATCATTGGTTATCTCATGGAAGAAGTTTCCAACATGTGGTTCTGTTATGTTTTGTTGAGCCAAACTTTGTTGCTGTGTTGTATTTTCCTATTCCTCCTGTTATTTAACAGATGTTATCTCAACAAAGTTTATGGAAAAGTTGGAGATAGTAAAATGTTTGAGACAGTTATGGAGGCACCGCTTCAAGAAACTGACAAGTTTCTTGACACACGTGAAAAAGAATTTTCACCCAAAATATGAACTAAACAACAGCTAATTTCGTTGTGGGATTAAGGAGTGGTGGGCAATGAAATGGGGATAGCTGAGTACATGTTACACTGTAGCTTAATATCCCATTTTTTTTGGGGGGGGGGGAGGGGGGGGGGGTCACATCACTTTTTACATGTCTACTTGTGACCGTTACAGTCAGATGGTCGAAGTATCATATATATATATATATATATATATATATATATATATATATATATATATATATATATATATATATATATATATATATATTTCAAGGTAGTAAATAAACATACTCTGAATACATTTTGTCGCTATGTGTTTTCTAGGCATCCTAGTGGCTTTTTCACAAAAATACCAACCATTTTTAGAGGGCGATTTTACTGAAAGAGCAATCCCTACTCAAAATACGGATATACGAGAAAGTTTATGGGATATTCATTTCTTTTTTATCTTAAAGGACATAACCAAGAATAGTCTCGAAATTATCAAATTATTAACTTTTTAAAAATTCATGTACGATGTTATTAAAATAAATATGCTATTAAAAATCTGTTTGATTTTTGTTGGACTTTACTAACGATTGGATGCTATTGGTGTTTTTAGTATTTTCGGTAAAAAACCAAAATATAAAAAAACCCCTGAAAACAATTTAATTGTTAGATTTATCACAGAAATTGAAAACAAAATGGCTAATCTTTAAAAATTGTTTCGGCAAAATATCGAATACAAATATTTTTTAAAGTAAGGTTTTCAGAATATCGATCACCAATTTCCAATCTAATATTTGTCTTACGAAATTAAAAAGTCAGCTCACGTTTGTTAAAGATAAATAGAAATGTAGCCTTAAACTAAAAAAAAAATATTTGAAAGTTCTGTTTAAAGTGGCTTTGCAACTTCTATAACATTGATTCTAAAAATATTAAATTTCAGAATTATTTTCAGAGTTAAGTTATTGTTTTTTAATTAGTTATTTTTGGTGCATTGATTGCAAAATCTAAAAAGTAAGTTTAAAAAAAAATCAATGTCAACAATAACGATCTCTCTCTCTCTCTCTCTCTCTCTCTCTCTCTCTCTCTCTCTCTCTGTATATATATATATATATATATATATATATATATATATATATATATATATATATATATATATATATATAATATTTAATATTTTCTCTACGTTATGCAAAATAAATAAACCCTACTCTAACGTACACAATAAGTCAATGCGCCCCCGTAAGTAAAATGTGTGTAATATGTTGATGTTTATTTTTTATGGTTCTAGAATCAATAGCGATAACTGACGGAAGTGCGTAAAAGTTCGAAACAACACTGGCGGCTTATTTAATTATAGATATTCGAGAATGTTTAGGGGAGATTTATATAAATAGTATCAGTAAAGATTAATAGTATTTAATTTTTTTTTTAAACTGCTTTTAATACCAATAAAGTTAATAAAAATAAATATTGATAAATGTATTATTTTTTTAAATATATTCAAGCGAGATAAGCATGTCTAAACTATTATGTGAATCTTTTTCATGTTTGTTCCCCTTTGACAATAAATTTTTTACATTTTTTCTTATAACATTAAAATTCAAAGAGAGCTAACTTGGGAAATTAAAAAGAAATGCTATATAATTTCCCTTTCAGCGCTGAACATGTTTTCACTTTTATCTTCATTAAAGCAAAGAACAGTTTAAAAACGTGTATTTAATATCTATCCATTTTAATACTAAAAAATGTTAACAAATATTAATATTAATAAAGAGGGCCTATAGTTATTTTCAAAAAATATTATGTTAAAGCGAGGTAACCATAACTTAACTACGAGGTGAACCTTTTTCATGTTTGTTCTCCTTTGACCGTATTTTTTTTCTTGTAACATGGAAATTCAAAGATAACTTGGAAAATTGAAAAGAGATAATATATAATTTCCCTCTTGGCGCTGGTAAATGTTTTCCCTTTATCTTCATTACAACCACCAATAGTTTAAAGTTTAAAGTGACATTCAATAGGATTAATTAAAATAGTTCTCACATTTCTATTTTGAATTAACACATTTTTTGTGTGTAAAATATTTTATTTTTAGGCAATATTTATCGTACGAAATATAAATTTGTACAATGAAAAGTCTTAATATTTGTCTATTTTTACTATTTATAAATGTTAATAAACATAAACATTAATAAATATAATTATTATTTTTGAAAACTGTATGGAAGCGAGGTAACCATAGCTAAACTACGAGGTGAACCTTTTTCATGTTTGTTCCCCTTTGACCGTACGTTTTTTCTTCTTTTTTTCTTGTAACATTGAAATTCAAAGAGAGGTAACTTGGGAAATTGAAAAGAGATGCTATGTAATTTCCCTTTGAGCGCTGGAAAATGTTTTTCCTTTTAGCTTCAGAAGAATATCAAATTTAAAGTGTATTTAATAGGACGAAAATAGTTCTCACATTTCTGTTTTAAATTAACATTTTAATGTTCTTTTTTGTACAATATTTTATTTTTAGGCAATATTTATCGGACGAAATATAAATGTGTACACTGAAAAGTCTTAATATTTGTCCTTTTTATAAATTATACATGATAAAAAAATTAACATTAAAAAATATAGTTATTATTTTTTTTTAAATATATATAAGAGACAATCTGATGTTAAAAATGTAATGTTCAATCTATTTCGACCTATTTTGATAACAAATTAGATAACAATTTTAAAAAGTAGGTTGGAAATTGTAATTATAATTTTAAAAAAGTAGGTTGAAGATAACAGTTTAAGATAATAAAAGTACTGATTAGCCCAACAGTTTTATTTTGTTTTTTAAATCTTTCACGAATGCTGTGGAGATTTGAAAAGTGACTTAGTGATGGGTGGGGTACGGCCGACCGGGCAACTGACTAGCGTTTCAAATCTTTGAAGCTCACGATAAAAAACTCACGTCAAGAGTTAGCTTTTAGCATATTTTTAATTTAAGGGTCATCTAGCTATGACTGGAATTAAATAAGTCGGTTGTGGACTGTTCTAACTCAGTGTGAGTGGAGAGAGGTCCACACTGTACATTAAATTTTTATTAGACATTAGAGGAAGTATTGTAATCGTGCACAAAAATCACATGAAATTTTGACAGTTTTACACCTCAGTACTTCATCATATACTAAGTAAAGGGAACTTATTTTAATCGGGCAAAAATAATAAGTCCAGAATTATCACAAAACAAATATTTACAATATCGTGATCTAGTTGCAACATCAACAAATATCACCAACATTATGGCAGTGCGCTGAACAAAACCAATTAAAATATAGGATGCTATTTTTTTTATTCTTGAGTTTTATGAATAAATACAATAATTTATTTCCAATTGACCATTCAATGGTAGAGTTACAATCAACAAAGATTACAATTACCTGTACAGCAAAACATTTAAAATAGATCTGACATTAAGTAAAACAGGTGTACATATAATTTACATTTTTAACAATAGCAATGTTAACATTTAATTTTGTTTCATTTTATGTTTTTGAAGGCTACTTGAAATGTTTTCTATTTTTGTTACATCATGTGATTTTGTCTTTAAAATACAACAACATCCAGCATAAATTTAAATAATCTTTGCCAACTCTGGTGCCTTGATTATCAATGTGTTCCAACAATTTAGAGCTGACAGACTTAGTATTTAACACGCGAAACTCTAACTTAAACCCAAATGGTTTTGTCTTTTGTACAAACTAAATGATATTAAAAAAAAAACTTAAAAGTAATTTTATTTTATTTTACTGATCACTTTTCGTCCTCTGATTAGTCAGGGGACACAATCAATTTAAAAAAAAAAGAGTTTATCACATCTGCCTGCCAGGAGCAGAAGATATGTTACAGTCAGCATTTATGCTGACATCAACAGTTACTGCTCTTGAATACGTTTAGCTACTTCTTAAATTTTTAACACGTAGTTGCCATGGAAACACTCACTCATTAAAAGCCGTAAGACCTGCCAGCTGAGCTTGCTGTTTAAAGTTCTCCAGCTGGCTCCAGAAATGTGATTTGTTGCTACACAGAGCCTCACAAGAAATATCTCTCCGCTCTGCATCTGTGGATTCTTTGCTGTTTTTTTCTTTTTACACAATGCAGTGCGACTAGTTGGATAGTAACTGTGCACTGGAGAAATCACAACACAAATAAAGGGGATAACAATTTTTTGAGTAAAAAGTAAATTGCTTTGGGAAGAAGGAAAAAGCGCTCAGTACACAATAAAAATAGAATTAGTGGGCTTTTAGTAATCTAAATGGATTTCTGGTTTTTGTATGTATGAGACAATTGAATTGAATCTTTTGCTTTTATTCGCACAAAAATATCTAATTAGATCATTGGCCTTTGTGTTTTGACACAGTTCTCCACTTCGTATGATAGCCGGTGTCTGCAAACTAATTCACTTCAAATCCAGGCCTTAAGATTTAAACAAAGCTTGGTGCACAAAACTTGGTACACAAAACTTGGTACACAAAACTACACAATATTTCATTTGTTATATCCTACACACGTTGATTCTCTAAGAAAGCACCGATGTCCTCTTTAAGTTTTATTTGTTACTTTTTGTGTCACATGTTCTTATCTGTAAATGCATGTGACCGATTTGGTAACTTGTTTCGATTATTTGACACATTGAAACCCTCTTTTTTCAATTATTTTTTGTACATTTTCCAACACTTCGCAAAACATAAAGCCATTAGGAGAGGTGTATTCGATTAATTCTTTATGTTTATTGTGTGTTTGTGTGTGTGTGTGATCCACCCTACATAGTTACACATCATTGTCACAAGACGGATATAATCTAAATTGACGCCACCCTTATCCTCACTAAAATAACAGCAATTTCTAATAATAAGAACAAAAACTATGTCACTTAAAACTACAATATATTTATACATAAAGACTATCATCATGTTCACATGCCTGATCTCTCTAACCACTCCCAGTTTCTATTAGCTTTTAAAGTCGTTAACTGACAACTCTTTACCAGTGTTTCTTCCAGACTTTTTTCTCCGGGGGGGGGGGGGGGGGGGGCACTTGAATTTTCGGGGGGGGGGGGGGGGGCGGACACTGTTAAAAGTATATATTTTCAATATAAATTATATAAATTTCATTTCGATCGGGGGGGGGGGGGGGGGCGGTAAGAAACTCTGCTCTTTACCCCCCCCCCCCCCAACAGAGAAAGATACTGGCCTTGGTGTAACTGGTTTTCATCAGTTCCGTCACCACTACTCATACTCTTTTCTTTCTTTATAAGATATATGTAAAGGTAAATGAGCATCATGTACATATGGAAGGGACAACAAAATAAATACTTATCGCACGAATGACATTGATCAACAATCAATAAGCATATTATGGACAATTGAGTTATACTGAAGCTAACACACAGCCACGGGCATTCCTCTAGTTGTTTGGCCAAGTAACGGTGCAACGTTTATTTAAATGTGAAATATCTGTATCTACCATTCACTTTTTTTTTCTGAAGTTTAGCACCAAACAATGTTTTAAAACATTTTAATTCGTAGATAAGCGAATAACTTTGGCCTTCAAATATTAGGTCAACAAGTTGGTTTATTATTGGGAACACGGGGGGTGTAGGGGGGGGTTGTGTCAACAATCAACCAATCGCTGATGTCCAAAGTCAACAACTGACCGCATTACTGGCCATGAAGAAAAACGTATCATCTACTATATTAATCACACACACTGCAATAGTAAAACATTCCGTGCACCACAAGCCGAAAGATAAATGTGATTCGATCAAACAATGGACGCGAATTTAAAGAATAAAGAAAAATTAAATGTTCAGGGGACACAACCTGCTCCAGATTTTGTGATACAACTTGGTTTTGTATCACGCATGAAAAACGACAAAGCCTACAGATGGAGAGTTATGCAATCTTTTTTGTTTTCATTGACAAGTTTCACTTTGGTACGTTTCTTGTCAAATGATAATTTTGTAGCTAATAGATTTTTCACACAATCTGCATTGTTTAGTTAAATGTCTATACTTCATCTTTTTAAAAATGTAATTATTTGAAAATACATTTTCCATTGTTTTTTTTTTTACTTAAACAATTACAATTATGTAATACGATCTGTTTAGCTGAATTGGGGGCAACTCTAATTTCACTCAATTAAATTATTTTTTTAAACCGTGCATAACCACAATATAGTTTCTTCAAATATATTCTTTCATTCTGATGAACAGAGCAAGATCAGCGTATACTACTTAAAACATGCTAAAAAAATCACTGGTTTACAAATATTCTCACAATGATATGCAAGTAACGTTTTAATATGTTGCAATAACAGTGAAATCACCTCCATAATTCTGCTCTATTTGTTAAATATTTCATAAGCGATTCATTGTTTTTCTATCGAGGTTTCCATTGAAAAGTATGGCAATAGCATTGAAAATTACTGCCACCGGCCTATAATTCTTTTCAAATTTATTGTAGATTTACTTTTCAGTACTATAATATTTATTTTGATTTTTTTCCCACCTTCCAAGAAAATATGCTAGTAAAAATTTTAAAACTAAGTTTAAAAAGCAATATCAAAAAATTGAAATGATAAGACACACATTTATCCAATGAGTATGACCAGATGCCGATTATATTCATATTTTTAACAGACATTTTTAATTTTTTAAATCTGTCTTTCGCACTAACTTAACAAAAGAATGTGAACAAAGCGCCAATTACATTACATTATGTAAGAATTAAACAATTTAAAATTAGGGTGCAAGTTTTATAATAAAGAATTATAAAACAAAGTAAGCTTATGTATATAAGTTAATGAAAATTATTGTGGAAACTGTACTTTAAACTACTAATTTTGTACCAATTGAAATTTTGATTACATCATAATTATAACAAATTTGGACTTTAAATTAAAAACATAATTGAAAATCAATAGACTGGTTTCATTAGCCTCCACCTTCTATGTTGTAACCGTTTAGCAAAGTTATAAACTACAAAAAAAAACTAATGTTTGAGCTTATCAATGAAAACTTTTAAATACTAGCTAGAACTAAATTTAATTTAGTATTTCCAAATTGAATAGGCTTGTTGTTAGAGATTCATATAAACAATTCTTTAAGTTGTTTACGATAATGATAAATGTAAAAATCTCAACGTCGTAGAAAGGGCGTGTCTGAGTATTTTGGCCTTTTCAATTTTAGGGGGTTGTTGCTAGTCAACAAGGGACAACATTTCTGGACCTGCAGATTATCACAGAGACGGATGTTGAAAAAGCTTCTTCGTTTTTTACTGCCGCCTCGTTTGGACACATGGTTGGTTCCATTATCAGCGGCTTTGTGCACGGGAAGGTAACGTCCATTTAACACTGTATGTAATCTACAGCATCTAACAAAGTAATCAAATAAAATACCCAATGGGGTGGGGGGGGGGAAGAGGGGTGTGGAAACATGGGTCAATTTAATTTGTATACGTGATGTTTTATTTACTAATCTATAAATATATATATAGGCTAAGTTGTACAGCTTTGTGGTTAATATATCGTTTATATTATGTATGTTTTCTATCTAAAATCTGTCTTTTGAACAGGTAAACAACAACGTGCTCATGGTTATCCTGCTGTTAGGTGCAGGAGTTATGTCTATCGTCACACCATACTGCTCACCCTTTGCTCTCATGCTCGGTATCAGGTTTTTAGCCCGCGTGTTCACTGGAAGCCTGGCCAACAGTGAGTAAATCATCAGTATTCGCCAGAGGCGTAGCGACCCTTCCCGGCGCCGGGGACAAACTTTCAATTTGCAACCCCCCCCCTCAAACTTTCGATTTGCACCCCCCTCAAACTTTTGATTTGCACCCCCACCCCCCTCAATCATACGATTTGCACACCCCCCCCCCCCCCCCTTAAACTATTTGAAATGCAAAACTGCAGCTAAAATGACACTTTTTTGTTTTTTACAACCCATTTTGCCGCCCTTAAGGTCGGCGCCCGGGGACATATGTACCCCCTGCCCCCCCCCCCCCCCCCCATCGCTACGCCTCTGGTATTCGCATATAACACTAACCAACAATAACAGTTCTGCAGAAACCTTAAATTCTCATCAAATTCTAGCAAAAGTAATCTTGTTTTTTCTTGCCCTTCTAACAAACATTAATTATTCCTTTACTAGCCTAGTATGCTCATATAGTATATTATATTTACACTTTATATTTTCTTTAATTTAAATAAAATTTGTTTCAGAGTTGGTATTTCGACCTATTTAGATAATAAATTATTTTATAATAAAAAGTAGGTTGAAGATAACTACTTTCAATAATAAAAGTACAGATAGCAAAGTAAGCCGATAGGTCCGCAAGTTGTCGTTTATCATTCATGAATATTATGAAGACTTGAGAAGTAGTTTAGTTAGGGTGAAGGCCAACCACTAACCTAGCGTTTCATATCTTTGAGGCAGTGCTTTAGACTTAGTTTAGTGGCTTGTTTGGTATTATGCGACAACAGCGGTGCGAAGAAATTTAAGACCAGTTGATTTTATGTCATCCATAAAAGGTAATAGAGGTCAAGCCTCAATACACCCACCCACTCTGATTTTCCGATGCACACAACTTTTAATTCATAGACGATAGTCATTTTCATTTTGCAACAGTTCTTGTTTTTTTTTAAACTAGTTATAAGTAAAAAAAGTATGTTCCATATGTTTTTAAATTAGCTTACGCTAATCACATAAATATGAGTTGTGTCCCATTCAAACATTTTACCGCCCTCCGCCCCCCTTTCTTTAGTCGGATATCAAAACGCACAATGTTTGTTATAACATCATCTGCCATATTTTTCTGCTCAGACATTGTTTAGTTAGTTAACTTCTACTTCTAAGCAAACAGCGTTTATTTTTGTATTCAGTTATACACAGTGTTTCTTCCAGACTTTTTTCTCCGGGGGTGCACTTGAAATTTTCGGTGGTGCGGACAACAATTTCCGGGGGGGGGGGGGACACTGCCAAAAGTATATATTTTCTATATAAATTCCATTTCGTTCGGGGGCTGGGGGGGGGGGCGGTAGACTTTCTTCGGGGGGGGGGCGCACTCCCCTCCCCCGAAGAGATACCTGGAAGAAGCTCTGGTTATACAATTATTTTAGAAAGGATCTAGGGCCCCTATAATCGGTGATACAAAAGAAACGGAGGTTGTTTTGTATTGTTTCCCAGGAGGTTGCCGATCATAGCGTGTTTTTGCAGGTGGAATGGTAAATCTCCGCTACATTGATTATTAATCACATTTAGCCCAGTAATCTACCATATAAGTAGGCTACACATTTATTGAAGTTTGGTTAAATTCTTTCATTTTTAATCGGTCAATTTATTTATAATGAAAGCATCCCTTTTCGCTGATACAAAGATGGATTAGGCCTGGGTCATGAAACTTGTGGCTGCCTATCTTTTGGGCTACATATTCCGTATTTTATTTCATACAGCAGCAGATACCCTATTCTCTTGCTATTAGTTTGGGGTCCTATGAGTTCGTGACGACTGCAATATGGAGGGTGGTTAAGTTCACCCCTACCCCCCCCCTTTTTTTTTACCTACTGCAAAAAGAGGCTGGTAGACTATTTTTTCCTCTAAGAGAGCAGACATTCTTAATATATATATGCAATATACAGACCTTTTTATTTCTGCCAATGTATCAGCTATCTAAATGGATAACGATGTAGGATGATTTTTATTTATTTTGAAATAAAAATTACTGTAAACAGAAGAATGATTTAAAATAAATAAATAAATACATTTTAAATTGCATAACACATACATTACGAACAGATGATTCTTAAACCATTTCACCCAATAAATTTGTTTTACTCCACATGTATGTATCGTGGCTACTATAATATAATACAATTATATGTTTGATGATTTCAGTTGTAAATGCTGAGCATATGCATATATGGGGCAGTGATAATCAACCCCTTCTACAAACCATACATTTCACATTTGCACTAGGAGCAGTTCTCGCACCATTGTTTACAGAGCCCTTCCTAGCAGAGAAAGAAACAGGAAACAGTACCAGTAGAACAGATGGTGAACCTACAATTTTTATGAACTCAACAAGTCAGTGGAAACAAGAAAATACATCCAACATGACATGGTTAGCTACCAATGGTACCATGTTGGTAAAAGCAAGAACTACAAATGTTCATTATGCATTTCTTATAGCTGGCATCATTGCCATTGTAACTGCATTTCCCTTTATAGTTCTAGGTTTTATAGGCAAGTCCAGAGAACACAAATCTGAAGAGAACTACACTCAAAAACACAGCAGAAAACTTCCAAGACATTTAAACATATTTGTTATCTTAGCTTTATGTGTTTTCTTTCAAATTTATGTCTGTATAGAACAGTCATTTTCATCATTCCTCATGACTTTTGTTGTATCTGACTTTGTAGAAGTTTCTAAGTCCAAAGGTGCCTACATAACAACCATCTTCTGGGCATTATTTGCTCTAGGCAGATTTCTTACAATTTTTGTATCCAAATACATCTCATCTGTCAAATTAATTAGTTTATATACAACTCTTATGGTGATCTCTTTTTTAAGTTTTACGGTAAGCGCTTCATTTGCACAGATTGATGCGGTGACAGTTTTTACTGGTATGGCTGGGATCTCTATGTCTGCCCTCTACCCAGCAGGAATCTCATGGGTAGAGTCAGAGCTGCTTAAAGTCACCAGCTGGTTTATGACTTTTGTCCTCATCGTTAGCTGTATCGGTATGATGATCAACCCACTTATCATTGGTTATCTGATGGAAGAAGTTTCCAACATGTGGTTCTGTTATGTTTTGTTGAGCCAAACTTTGTTGCTGTGTTGTATTTTCCTATTTCTCCTGTTGTTTAACAGATGTTATCTTAACAAAGTTTATGGAAAAGTTGGAGATAGTAAACTTTCAGAAACAGTTACAGATAAACCATTAAAGGAAACCGAAACTTTTTTGGAAAGTGACATATCGTTAAAAAATAGTAAAACTATTAATGCAACAACTTAAAATAGGATATGTTAATGATAATTTGACACGTTAACATTTGGGATACAGGAAATAAATTTTTTTAGTACTTGCTTGTTAAAACAAATTAAAAGATAGACACATTTCTAGAAAGGAAAACTTTTGTTTCTCATACACTACTTAAACAGTAAAAAATTTTTTTTTCTTTCTAATGAACTGTCTCTATTTACTCAGGTTGTTACGGCTAATGCGTTGTAACAATTTTTTTAAGGTTATTTGTTTTTGTTAATTGGTTACCTCAAATTGCTCAGGTTTTGTATATTTTTACAATAATTCATCATTTATGTATAAAACACATCTTTTAATGTTATCATTGCAAACATAAAAGAATGTAATCTGTATAATATAGTCTTAGGTTTGCACAACCAGTAGTTTTTTGTCAGATTCAATGAATTCAAACTCCTAAAAATGGGAACAAAAAAAAAAAGCCAATAAGCAATAAGAATATGAATTATCACAAAAGCAAACATTTACAATATAATGTACTGGTACTATCAACACACGTTAATAATGTTGTTCTAGTTATAACATCAACACACAGGACAGCCACTCAATGAACAAAATCAGTTCTAAGCATTATTAAATTCTAGGGTTCAATATTTTTTATTCTTGAGTTTTATGCCTAAATACAATAATTTATTTCCAATTGGTAGAGTTACAATCAACAAAGATTACAATTACCTGTACAACAAAACATTTGAAACAGATCTGACATTAAGTAAAACAGGTGTACATGTAATTTACAGTTTTAACAATAACAATGTTAAAATACAATTTTGTAGTTTTCTATTTTTGTTATATCTTATGTATTTTTGTCTTTAAAATACAACATCCAGCATAAATAAATCTTGTCAAACTCTGGAGCCTTGATTATCAATGTGTACGCAACAATTTAGATCAGACACACCTTTTATTACATTAGTATTATAATGTATTAGTATTTAATACATGAGACTCTTACCTTACACCCAAATGTTTTGTCTTCTGTTATAAACTAAATGACATTAGGAAACAACCTAAAAATAAGTCTATTTTATATTTTACTGATTTAGGTTAAGGGGGGGGCATTTTTAAAAAAGAATTCCTGACATTTGCCTCGCAGGAGTAGAAGAAATGTTAGTCACTGCTCTTGAATATTTAGTTGCTATGGAAACACTCAATCATTAAAAGCTGTAAGACCTGCCAGCTGAGCTTGCTGTTTAAAGTTCTCCAGCTGGCTCCAGAAATGAGATTTGTTGCTACACAGAGCCTCACAAGAAATATCCTTCCGCTCTGTGCCAGTGGATTCTTTGCCATTTCCCTCCATGTGACTTACAAGAGCACAGCTGGCATTACCTTCTACAACAGTCTTGTTTGCTGGTGCCTGATCTGACTGTGTTTTTGTGTCCACCGTGTGTGAAGAGCTGTATGTTTTAAACTGATCTGCTTTTATCAGGGATGGGATGGATGACATCAGATCCGAGGTGGATGAGAGTATGTCTTGTAATGTAAGAGCAGAGACTGTAGTTCCTGGTTCCTGTGAGGTACATCCTGTAGATGGTGCTGTACATCTTGTTGGATGGTAACTTAACTGTGCACTGGAATAATAAAACACAAATTCTTAAAAGTCATTGTTTTTTTTTAGTAAAAAGGAAATTGTTTATGGAAAAAAGGAAAAATCAGTTTTAATAAACAAGAGAATACTAACCAATTAGTGGGTATTTAATTAATTTATATTTATTTGATAACAGCTTGTAACCTTGCTTTTTTTATAAGTTATACAACCAGTATCTTTTTTTAATCATGGCGCTTCTATCATCTAAAAATAAAAATGTGAAAGATTTTATGTGAAAAGATTGAAAAATATTTTACCTTATAGCTCCCTGCAGCTTTCCAGCAGCTAAAGACATTTTTAGAGCTTCTTTAAAGGCTGAGTCGAATCCTTTTTGAAGACATTCTTCTTGTCCCTTTTCCAGACCTGTTCTATAGCCATCCTATAAAATTAATTAAAATCAAGCATTGAAAATTCATATTTCTACTGCTTGTTAACAACAAGTGATTTAAGGTGAGACCAGAGCCGGCGTTAGGGGGTGGCGAACGGGGCGGTCGCCATAGGCCCCGCACTTGAAGGGGCCCCGCGCTTCAGCACTGTCATTGTTACCTGAATTAGTTTGTAAACTTAAAAAAAATGTTGCTGAATTCAATTGGGAAAAAACTAAATGGTCGAATGCCGATGTTGATGATTGTTATAACTGAGGCCACGGTTGATGTTGGTGAGTCCCACCTGAACTGGGACAGGCCGTAATTCGATACAAAAATAGTGTCACACCTCCCCTTTGTGTAGGGTACGGTCGCCTCGCATTTGACCTGAGCTGACTGGAGATAGCGGTCGAGAATTAGCCCACGACGTAAAGAGATACCCTATTGTATGCGGACCCATGAAGACTTTTTAGTGAACAGACGGGATGTCTGTAGTAGACAGTTAGTGACCTGATGAACTCTAGACCTGACTTTCTTGTTGTAGATGTCGTATAATGTTGTATATGTACAGTGTTTTTTCCAGACTTTTTTCTCCGGGGGGGGGGGGGGGGGCACTTGAAATTTTCGGGGGGGGGGGGGGGGGGAAACACTGTTTAAAGTATATATTTTCTATATAAATTATATAAATTTCATTGCGTTTTCGGGGGGGGGGGGGGGGGGCTTGCTTCCCCCCCCCCCCCTCCCCCCCCCCCCTCCGAAGAAATGCCTGGAAGAAACTCTATGTGTAGTATGGTATAGCAAAATTATAATTAACATTCAGTTGCGTGCAGGGGGTGGGAGGAGGGCGACGAAGGGGGGGGGGGGCTTAGGATCTATATCGGCGGCATCAAACAGAGTGATTTATTATTATTTTTTGGAAGAAAGTTAAAACTGTTGTTATGTTGTGTCACCTTAAGGATTCACCCGTTCAATAATTAAGACAATAATGTTTTTGGTTTTAAAATATTGTTTGAATTTGATACATCAGGCCGAGTTCGCTGTATTGTAAACTTTATTTTCCTAATTATTCGGCACGTGATTAAATTTTCTTAAGTGATTTGGTATGAATTACATAACTGTCAAAAGTGATTTAATATCTTAGCAAAGGAAAAAAACTACGAACATTGGGTTAATACATGGGAGAGATAAAAATCTGTTATTATAGTGGAAAGTTTGACATTAGCTTATAAACTCCAAAACATTTGTGTTATTATGTGTACATCACATTATATAGGCCTTTATACATACATATATATATATATATATATATATATATATATATATATATATATATATATATATATATATATATATATATATATATATAATGGAAAGGCCCCGCGCGGATGGTTGGCCCTAGGCCCCGCGTATTCCTAACGCCGGCTCTGGGTGAGACTGAGTACTTAAGTTTCCAGCCTTATTTCCCCAAACAGATACCTGAAAGAATCTCTGCTAAGAACTAGTAAATGGTGGAGACCTACGTTAGAGGGGCATTCATGGTAGCTGTTGTTTAAACTAACAGCATGCCTATTTTGGTTTAGTCATTGGTTTTAGCAGCCCATCATATCCTTAGTGTAGTTAGAGGAGTGAGTTCTTTAAATGTAATATGTGCTATAGTGCTCTGAGTCACACAGCAGCATGGATGCTAGTGGACGCCCTTGGTACAGTTTGACAGTTCATTCAAGTAGACAGATGAGATTTATCCCTTATTGTATCAAAGGGCCACAAAAAAAATATGCTTGTGTGTTGGGTTTTTAGTAGTATTGTAATCTTGACTAATTTTATGGTTAGACATTAGGGTTAGGCATATGGTTGGACCAGGGTTGAGGTTAGGATTAGGGACAGGGTTAGCATTGACATTAGCCAGCGATGTGTGTATTTAGTTAACAACCAGTAACTTAACGCTAACACCTCCTTTTTAAAGAAGATTCTATTATTGGACACTGGTGTAAAAATTCACCCACAAATTTAAACACCTGTTTTCAGTCTGTGTATTTAATATTGGACATCAGCAACACCAATCATTTGTTTTCTAGTTTAAGTTTTGAATTTAGGAAAAGGAAAACTGTTTTTAGGGCCTATTTGAATATATCTAGAGTATTCTAGAGTAGATATAATCTGATTTTATGGTTAGAGTGGGCAGGCATATGGCATATATATACTTACTCGTTACTGAACTGTAACAATTAATTATAATATAATAATTAAAATATAATATTATATAGGCCTAATTATAGGCCTAATAATAGCCTAATATTATTAGTTATTAGGCTATTTTAGTATTTTTTATTAGGCCAAAAACTGGGGCAATAGGGCAATGTAGAAATCTAACAATAACCATATTATGCATATAAAACATAAAAGACAAAACCATGCCAATATATAGATTATAGATCTACATTCTACATGTAGAGATATAAAAACAAAAATAGCACAACATACATTTTTCATGGCATTATCTGCCTTCAACCACTCTCTGTTGAAGCTGTTTGTTGACGTCAGGTCGTCATCATCACTCCCGAGGAAATCATCTATTTCCCTTGCTCTATTCATATTTAAAAAATAGATCTAGCTCTGTATAATTTAAAAACGCAAACAAAAGTTAGTTAAATAATGTCCAGATCTAGATTTCTAGATCTAGACTAGATCCTAGATCTAGGTAGATAATAGTAGATATTTATGGTGTATGAAATTCATCATATTTTTCTAAATGTAAACAAGGCAAATATTTTGTAACTCTTTTTAATAGAAGAGCATAAAAAAGAGCATAATGCCAGATTTTTTGAAAAAATGAAAACATAAGCAAGAAGATGAATTCTAAATTATCAAGTAGAATATTTTGTATATTTAAATTTAAATCTAGCCCTATACTCTATGATAGCTAAATTTTAATAAATGTGTTACGTAGATATCACCTAGCTAGAGGACTGCGTGTGGGGCGGCCTCCCTGGGCGCGGACTATAGTTTGCGAGTGAAAAGGGGGAGGGGCAAAAGGGTATGAAAAATATTTAAAAAGCATATTTTGAGAATGAGTGAATTATAGTAAATTATACACACGGTGGTGTAGCAGAAAAATACATTCCGTTATATCAGTGGCGTCGCGAGGTCGGGTGTCACCCGGTGCGGCACTTAATGGTGTCACCCCCCAGAGGCGTAGCGACCCTTCCCGGGGACAAACTTTTTCGATTGCACCCCCCCTCAAACTTTCGATTTGCACCCCCCCCCCCCTCAAACTTTCGATTTGCACCCCCCCTCAAACTTTTGATTTGCACCCCCCACAAGTTTTTCTCTATATATTTTGACATTTTTTGCCTTGGTGTCACCCCCCTAAATGGTGTCACCCGGTGCGGTCCGCACCCCCCCGCCCCCCCCCTCGCTACGCCCCTGCGTTATATTCCGTTAACGCCCAGTGACCGCTTAAGAGCGAACCCCCACCCCCGTTTTCCTGATATGGGGAGGGGGAGGGTGCTTTACCACCATCTGTTACATTGTTAATAAATGACGCGACTAATTCTTTGTTTAAAAGTTATGTTCCTCTCAATTTAAAAACGTTTCTGATCAAAGCAATTTGCTTGATTGCTATAGGTATATTACGCAAAAATAAAAACCAAGTGATCTGAATAAGTGGTTTTATGTCCAGAGGGAGTGACGAAATTTTAAGAACAAAACATTTTAAAAAAAAATTCCATTTATAAACTTTAATTAACTTATGATAATTAGACTATTCATTTTACAAAATCAACACATATTTTACCACTTTAATAAAAGTATACACGTTTTCATATCCGTTACTAGTGACTAAAAGGAGCTAACTAGTGCCAAAAAAATCTCGATAGTGACAGTTCTAATTTACAATAGCAGTTTTTGTTGTAACAGCTATTGTATCTGTATGTTGTAGTTCTAAAAAACACCGCGGAACACAGACATGATAGGCATTATTGTCCCCAATGTTGCCAATGCTACTGTATAGTTAAAGCAACTACTAAACAATCTATAACTTCTGGCCACGGTACAAGCCGAAGACTGCTACTGTTTTGTGACTTTGTTCAGACAAATCTTACTCTCCTACTTTATAATAAACAATATGCAAGACACGTCTTGAAAAAATCTGGACCTAAACTATTTGTAATTGACAAGAAGAAACCTCTACCCTTTTTCTTCTTTTTTCTTCTTCGTTCTTAATTATTAGTGTTGAAGGGGATCGAGATTTATCTGCCAGTGGGTTTGAACTAGAGATTTTGTTCGAATTTATTAACCATGAGATTTTTGCCGACTCGACCACACCTCCAACACAATTAAGCGGTACGTGTCAACTGGTTATGCGCCATTAAGGCCATTGACTCCGATTTCAGCCTGCTTTTCTTTTTGGATTTGCTTCCATAGCCTTTGTCCAACCAAGAACAAACTACAAGGCAGCAGTTGTTTAATTTTGGAGTTGTCTCTCCTAGAAGAGTGGCTGTCCCCAGCTAACGAGCCTCATCTGCCCGAGTCTACCCTTTTGATAAAGAATATTTTCTGATGCGAGGTAATGATTTGGTCAACAATATTTTAAAGGCTAACGCAGCTTTAAAGAAATAACATTAGCATCGATTACGTAATGTATAAAAGTCTAGGCGTTCAGTGGAATGCTGACAATGGGTCGGCAAATTATGAAATAGTTAGGCTATATAAATTATGCTATTTGCCAAGGAATTGTTTGAATGGATTTCTAAACTGGGGACCTGGCAATGTTCATAAAAATAATGTCGCAATATGAGACATAGTGTTATTTAATTTTAATATTCTAACAGAACACAAATTACCGAAAGTATAGAGTGGCGCTTGACCCTTTGCTAGCACGTACACATACTAACAAGAATTCAAACAATTGTAAAACCTAGAAACACCCTTTAAAGTGCTCGAGGAAACAAATGAGTAATGCACTTACACGCGACAATTTCGGTCACACCCCACACCTCAACATAGAAACTAACACAGGTCGACAAAGTAAACTTAAAATCTAAACCTAACTATAAACTTAGCCCCAAATCTAATAACCCTATCATTGACTCATGATTAGGTTTAAAGTTAGGGTCTATTCAAATTTTTTCCAGTTTACATTCCCCCCCCCCCCCCAAAAAAAAAAAAAAAAAAAAAAAAAAAAAAAAAAAAAACCTCCCCGACAATCAAGTTTAAGATATTGTTCATATTTCATATTGTACATCCTTGTTCAGTTTGGCTCATTCAAAGATTTTATTTATTAAACTTCATTCTTATTTCGACATTTTACTTTTGGTCTAGAGGAGTGATTTTTCATACTTAGTGCTTGTCATACTAAAGAATGCCTAGGATAAGCGTGTAATAAAAATGATATTCAAGATATTTCATACTTTGCCTGATTCATTCATGCATGTAAAAGAATCCTTGATATTCAATAGTTTACCTCTAATTATTAATATTCCGGTTATTTATTTATATATACCTAAATATCGCGGGGGGGGGGGGGGGGGCACAAATTTCGACCCGGCCGCTGGGGTGGCTGCCTACGCCCGTGGCTATTACACATGAGAGATAGATTCAGTGTTATATGTAACACCTACATTGGTATATGATAGTTTGGTAGGCAAATATTTAACACCTATATTCAAGAGTGGTAGTTCTAGTGTGTTCCCGGGGAGGGGGGTGAAAAGGTGTTGCTTTGCTTCTCATATACTTACAGACAACCTTAAAGCATTCCAACCACTGCCAAATCATATATGAAGTCTCTGACCATTGTCAAGTACCAACACTTCACTACTAGGATCAAACTGTCTTTAGGGTAGAGTTTCTGTAAGCGCTTCTCTTGGTGGGAGGGGGGGGGGGACGACTGCCCTCTTCTGAAGCATGTCTACTGAGCCCCCTCCTACACCTTTTAGAAAATTTATGTAGGCTACAAAATATATTTTAAAACCAGTGTCCGTGGAAATGTATGCCCCGCCTCCCCCGATAGTCTTAAGTGTGCCCCACCCCCACCCCCCATGGAGAAAAATGTCTAAAAGAAACACTGCTTTAGGGTAATGACTTGCTGGATCCAGGACCAAAACTTACCCTTAAATCTGTAAATGACAGACAAATTATTTTATGACTCTGTAGAAGTGGTACCAAGCCACACTAAAACCTGTCGTGTCTTATTGTACAGCGGTACAGGAGTTAGACAGCAAACACAATTAAAAAGTGAAGTCCATTGCTGCAGATCATATCAGCTATTTTCACCACAACAGTACTTGGTGTAGTAGTAGAGTTCATAGAATAAGTAAAGTAGTTTATGGTCTAGAGTCTAGACCAAGAGCTAATGTATGTAACAAGCTTTATGTAAATATTTTTAGTAGTAGTAGTCCCAGCGTCAAAGTATGTAACAATTTTTACATAAATATGTTGCAAGTAGTCCACACGGTATTTCTGACAATTGAGGTTACTCCCCTCCCCCCCCCCCCCAACTACTTTTTTAAAAACAAGATCTACCGCATTCCTTGTCTAGTCTTTGATGTGTTAAGAATATTCTGGTAAAGAAAACTTTGTGATGGTGTGTGAATTCACTGCATAGACCGGTTTTCTTTACTTTATACTATAACTAAACACCTTTTGAAACTATGCAACCAAAAAAGTAGGGAAATATTTGATTGTAAAGCTTACAGAGAGATGAAGCATAGAAGCTACAAATGGGAGGGGGGGGGGGGGGAGGGAGGAGAAAAATCAAAGTATAATTTTCATCACCTCCTAACAAGTGTTTTTTTAAAAAGTTGGATTTGAACTACAAGTAACAAAAGAACCCGAGGAACGAAAAGAACATTCACCATACCTTAACATAAGCTATGTCAGTGTTGATTGTGATGTGTCACATGCGGTGACTGATGCTAACAAACCTTCACATCTTGTAAATATTTACTTATAGGTTTGCCATTGTTACGAAATCGAAATAAAAGTAATTTGATAATAAGATGTGTGTGGTGTATTATGTGTAGATAGTATAGTCCTTCTATAAACAGGGTGGGACAACATAATCACAAGTAAGACCTTAGAAGTAAGTCTTAGATATTTCTAGCCATAGGATAATCTGGAAATTTCCAGGGCGGTGGTAGGGGGGACGGACTCTGGTTAACGTATATATTTGCTATATAAATTATATAGTTTCTCTATTTAGTCCTAAGGCTAGAGCGGTACTGTCCCCCCCCCCCCCCCACCCCACCCCACCGACAAGGCCTGAAATAAACACGGACTAAAAATATTTGAATATGTGTGTGTTAAATGCAAGAATTGTAAACTAGCTGACCACTAACACGTAACATTAAGTGGGTGCCACAAGAACAAGTGATGGTTCACCAGCCAGGCATAACCACGTTTTTTTTTAAACAAAAAATTGACGACATTATATAACACTCAAGTATATTACATTACGTAAATGTTGTCGATCCAAAAAAATGTCACTATAACAACAGCCCTGCTCACTAGACTAGAATAATTCATCGAGATAAAAATCTTGGACTTAGAGCCAAATATAAAATCGTAACAGATAAGTCCAATCATCCTACATTAGCCAGCGTGAAGCTGACTTCAAAAGGCTCCTCGGTTGGTAGGTATTTGTACACCCCCTCTGGCTCTTTCATAAAGGCCCTTTACGCCTGGTA